AATCAATTTCTAATTGAATACATTTGGAATATTATAAACTTCTTTAAAATCCTAATTGAATACACCTGGATTTTCAAGGATTTTAATAAACTATTTAAAATTCTAATTGAATACACCTTGAATTTTAGAGAATCATTGAAAATTCTGATTGAATACTCCTAAATTCATTAAAATAATTAAATTCTCTCAACATCCTAATTGAATACACTCTTTGTTTCCCTCCAAAGCCTACTCCTTACAAACGAATCTTGAGTTCCTGCAACGTAGTATTTGGGCTAACTTCTATTTGGACACATTTATATTAGCAAACTTTTCTAATATTATGCATTTGGATTAGAAAGTGTGACATCTCACATCGCCCAGGGGAGTGATCCTTATATGTATATTCCCATCCCTACCAAGCACGAGGCTTTTTGGGAGCTCACTGGCTTCGTGTTCCGTAGGAACTTCAAAGTTAAGCGAGAAGGGGGCTAGAACAATCCCATGATGGGTGACCCACTGGGAAGTTGCTCGTGAGTTCTCAAAAACAAAACCGTGAGGGAATGGTAAGCCCAAAGCTGACAAAATCGTGCTATGGTAGTGGAGCGGGTCCTGAAAGTGATCCGCCCCGGGCCGGGATGTGACAATTTGGTATCAGAACCTAACCCTGGTCGCATGTGTGCCGACGAGGACGTCGGGCCCCTAAGGGAGGTGGATTGTGACATCCCACATCACCCAGGGGAGTGATCCTTATATGTATATTCTCATCCCTACCTAACACGAGGCTTTTTGGGAGCTCACTGGCTTCGACAAGTTAAGCGAAAAGAAGGCTAGAGCAATCCCATGATGGGTGACCCACTGGGAAGTTGCTCGTGAGTTCCCAAAAACAAAACCGTGAGGGAATGGTAAGCCCAAAGCGGACATTATCGTGCTATGGAGTGGAGCGGGTCCAAGAAGTTATCCTCACTGGGTCGGAATGTGACAGAAAGCGCACGATCAATAAGATATTGAAAACGTGTACTTCCTAATACATTATATAAAATTAATAATTAGCTAAATTCATAAGAAAATACGTTATAGAAAACTCATATGGATCCCACATAATATGTAAATTAATAATTTCCTGATAGATTATGCTTATGATTCGACAATGAGACCTTCCTAAAATTTGACTCAATCATTGTTTGATTTTTCTTGAGATTGATACCTTGGATCTTATCAATCACCGATTTGAGAACTTCTTTTCGGAAAATGGGCTCCATAGTAGAACTATGTACAATCTATTTTTCAAAAAAATAAGTGGATTACTTGGTTTAACAATAAAATTGTTAGTTCATAAAATGAGAAACTAAATTATTAACATATTAATTTATCAATTATTTAATATTTTGCTAAATTAATAAATTTTTTGCGGTCTCAAGGCTGTTAATTTATAAAGGTCTAATTGTAGAGGGTCAGTATAAGCCTATAAGGTGATTCTAAACCAACGTATCAGTTTTAGGAAATAATATTGAGGAGATGCTAAGGGTTGTAACTTGAGATGAAAGGGTATATCCTTCATAGTTTTTTGGGAAATTGGCCATTATCCTATAATTTCAAAAGTGCTTGGCCGAAATGGAAATATAGACACGAACAACAATATATAAAGCATATTGGTAAGATGAAATGTCTAAATTACCCATTTTTATAATGAGGAGCTTTAGTTTTTTTTTTTAAAATGCACATCCGAAAATATCCAATTTTTTGGGGTCCTGGAATCCTCCCCCCACTCCCCCCTCCCCCCCCCCCCCCCCCCTTTACATGCCACAGTCAGATTTTCCTTTCCCTGTTGAGTCAAGTCCTCAACATTCAACGTAGAAATGATATGAATTTCCACCATTATTGTGTTTTGAGGTTTTGAGCATCTCCCTTTCATACAATGGGAATGCATTTACTATGATATCCCAAATCAATCATGCACTACTATGCTTGGTTAAATTACAGAAATGTCCCTGCATGGCATGCATGATTGACTTGAGATACTGTCAGAATGTCATCTTTGTTGTAGGTAAGTTTTTCTCCTCTAAACATTTGTTCACCAAGGAATTTACATGGGAAATGAAACTCTAAGAAAAGAAATTTAAAAATGAGAAAGTGATCCACCTAATCACGTGTGTCGGTATGCCAATGAACAAAAATTTTAAATGTCACAATACAAGCTACTGTAATTTGTTAACTGCATTTGATTTCATATTGTTTTAAGTTACAAGCAGTGAACTCGGGGAACAAAAATGGAATGATAACCTTTGTCAGATCCTATTCTAAAACAAATTTCCAACACTCTGAATCTTGCAGCTTTTAGCTGCTCTGTGTATGACCAATTAGTAGAGACAAAATTGGAAGAGATCATCCTGTAATTTCTAGTTAAACAAATCAAGGGCAAACAATTTTACGCCGCCCTTACCTAGTTTACCCTTCCTTAATGTCAACCTCTTGTCTTACAAAATTTGTATAAGCCTAACCTGCGCGCGCTATAAATTCCTAATTCTAATCTTGGGACAATGTAAAAGGAGTGCAGCGGGAAGAAATATCTATCCCAGCAACCTCCATGGCATCACAGAACACTCGGGCACATGACTTTTTTGAAACTACAAGACAATAAGATGTAAAACATTTCAGAGCTATGTGGCAGTTATTGCACAGAGGGGAAACAAAAGCACAAGGCTCTCTAAGCAAACAATAACAGAGAAGAATCGTCGTATACATAATTGTTTTCTACCAATAGCGAATGACATAGCAGACAACTAGAAGAGAGTAATGATTCTCAATATATAATGTAGCAAAAGAAATTAAACTCCCTCCTAAAATGTGCTCTCCTAAAAACCTACACTCACAAACTACGCTCCCCTATAAGCTATAACTCCTCATAATAGAACTTCTTGTTAGAGATATAGTCACCCAACCCAAAACTGACCCGAGATTAGCACAAACAAAGTTCAATAGCAGAGAAATTCAAATACAACAAAGCCAAAATAGGTCAAGTTTGCCTATAAAAAAGTTGAACACCCCCATAATTAGCACTCTCCTAGATCCAAACTTCCTCATAAACTTAGAAGTCTACAAACTAAGTGGCGGTACCAGATTGAAAATATCCAATTTTGCAGCAAATACACAATGCAAGGATGGTCAAAAGCAGAATGGATAACAAATAGTAATACATCAAATGAGTACACCCAAGCAAAGTGTAGCAACAAATAAGCACAAGTAAGTGAACCAACTCCCCACAAAGGATGTATGTGATATAAATGAACTCCCCAGAAATGATGCTTTTTATACAAACATACTCCCTTAGAAACTAAGACCACGGCTTGAAACAAGCACGAAGTTTGTTGGATGTCATTTTATCCCCAACTGTGTATTCCCTGATCATGTTTTTAGATGTCATTTTAGAATGCAACGAAGTTTGTTCGACAAAATCATGAGTGTTATTTGCAACCATGATCAATACATTGTGCAAAAAAAGGATGCTTTTCATGTTCTAGGTTTTCTTCCTGAGCAAAAAATTACTGTTGCATTACGGATGCTTGCATATGGAGCATTTGCAGATCAAGTAGATGAGATAACGAGGATGGGAAAATCAACTATTTTGGAGTCCCTGATGCGGTTTTGCTCTGCAATCGAAGCCATCTATACGAACGAGTACCTCCAGAAATCGATGCCTATGAATCTACGAAGGCGACTGAGGAAGGGTGAGATGCGAGGCTTCCCTCGTATGATTGGAAGCATCGACTGCATGCACTGGACTTGGAAAAACTGTCTAAGTGTGTGGCAATGAGCGTATGGCAATAGAAAAAGAGCTGGAAGCGGTGACTTCATTTGATACATGGATTTGGCATGCATTTTTTGGTGCACCAGGAGCTCAGAATGACATAAATGTCATTGCCCAATCTCCGGTGTTCGATGAATTGCTACAAGGACAAGCACCCAGAGTCACATATTCAGTCAATGGCCATACATACAAACAACTATACTACCTTGTAGACGACATTTACCCAAGGTAGACAATGTTTGTCAAAACAGTCCCACATCCACAAAGTGAAAAAGAAAAACACTTTGCAACATGTCAAGAGAGGTGTAGGAAGGATGTGGAATGTTGTTTTGGTATCTTGCAAGCTTGTTGGGCGATTGTCAAGTCAGCTGCAGGAATGTTTGATGTCGAGACACTTCGATCCATCATGATGACGTGTATCATTCTCCATAACATGACTGTGGAAGATGAGTATGATTATAATGCCGTCAACGAATACGAGCCGGATACAATGAACAACTCAAGAACACGTATCTATTGTGCTCATGACGGCACCGAAGATCCCATGCAACACGAGCCATTGGAACGGGATAGACGTTACAATCAATTGATCGCTGAGCGGTACACTTCATTGCAAGAGCCATACTAGCACTGTACCTGTTAAAGTGACTTGATTTAGCACCAATGAGGATTGCAACAAGGTTAAGATAATTAAAAGGATCTTGTGGTGGAACAATAAATTTCTTAGTTTATTTAGTCTGTTTTTTTAAGTTTATTTGATGAGTTTATGTAATTTTATTTAGTGTGTTTTTTTTAAGCTTATTTGATGAGTTTATGTAATTTTATTATAATAATAACACGTGACATGACGTGATTAGTTAAAATTCCTATCCGAAATTAAAACAATTTTTTTATTTATTATTTTATAAAAAACTTAATAATATTTTAAATGAGCTGGATACCAATGCATTTTGTAGTGGTGAAAATGCATTCGATCTATTAATATTCATCGAGTGGATTAAATAAGTTGGATGCTGACGCATTATTTTAGAAGTCGAGTTGCTCTCATATAACACAAACCGCCCATTTCTTTTGGCCTTTTGCCCGTGTGGGCCAAAACCTTGACCAATTTCCAATGTTTAATTTCCGTGTGGACCACAAACATACCACCACTTTTTCTTCTTTTTCTTTTTCTTTTTCTATCTTTTTTCCTTTTCTTTTTCCCCATCTTTTCCTCACCCTCGTTTACCAAAAAGAAAAAGAAAAGAGAAAACAAAAGATTCGTCCTTCTTCTTCAGCTGCTCTGGTAGCATCTCCCACCTCCTCTTCTTCATCAACTCTTAAGACCAACGCCCATTCAGATCCTTGAAAATTTAAGCATGGTGGAGAGGAACTATAGTTATCAACTTAAGGTTGTGAGTGAGCAAAATTTGATTTGTCAAATCGTCCATTTCACATTGTCTTTTTGAAGAAACTAGTTGGGACTTTCATCCAACGTTTTTCGGCATTTTACAATACACAACTCTGGTGTGTGCGAGGTACCTCCAAGCTCCCCTCTTGTGAAAACATAGATCTGCTTGTATTATTAGCTTTCAATTGAAATCTTCATGGCCGATGAATCAAATGCATTGACTTTGGATCCTCTTGCTTTCTTATCTTTATTTTTCTTTTTAATATTTTCCTATTAAAACTAAGATCTAAAGTCTTTAAATTCATGGAAATTATTTTGTAAGACTTCAAATTTTTTTTTTCTTTTCAGAAACGTGAACTAAATCCATTTCATGAAAAAAGATCTAGTCCTTTTCGTTTTTTTCTTCTTAAAATAAATATGAGTCATTATATTAATAATTAATTTATTAAAAATTGATAGAATATATATTTTTGTATAAAGTTTTAATATGAATTTCTTTTGGGATTACCCATAATGTGTTGTTAGCTTTTTACATATCAAATTTATGATAATATAAATGTACCTATAGTTTTCTTTGTATTTAAATAAAAATTACATAACGTACCAAAACTAATTTGTACACAAATTTGAATTACATAGCATACCAATAAAGTACCAAATTATGACACATTACATTTAGTAAATAAAAGCATTGATATATATCTATATGTAATATCGTTTAGAATTTTAAAGTACGTTGGTACTTTTAAAATATCACGTTTGATTTTTTTTTTTTTCCTTTTTTTTGCACCCACAGTTTAACTTTTTTTTTTTTTGTTAAACAATTCAACTTTTTTTGTTTTTATAGAACTTTTATTGTTTTTTATTCTTTTAAAATATATTCAAATAAAAAGATATAAATTAACAATATATTGAAATAAAAACTTAGATATTTGGTCTAAGAAATTAAAAAACCGAGCATCTAGATCAAAACACCTCCTAAATTACTTGGTGGTTAAGAGTCCTAAATGAGCTCCTCCCTAAGACTTAGAGGGGATTTGAAAAGTTCCATCTCGTATCAAACCTTCATTCCTAATACAAGTAAGCATACTAGAGTCAAGTTACATGTACATGTCTAACAAAAGTATAGTCCATTTCTACCACACAAAAAAAAAAAAAAAAAAAAAGAAATAAAATAACCAGTAATATTCTTGCATGACAATATGACGAATTTATTCTTACTAGACACCAATTTGTTTTTTTTTTTTTCCTTTCTTCTGAGTACTACTTGAGAGTTGATACACCAACTTATAAGTTTTTGCATCAACTTTTTGAGATCCCAAATGCGTGCCAATGTTTCAATGCGTTTTCTATTCACATTTTACAACTAATAAGAATTTGCCTTGTGACTTGGTAATCAATAACTGGTGTCTCTTGTACTATTATTAGGTTTATCATTTCCTACATATTTCCCAAATTAGACCTGTAATATCATTTGCATCTCAGTGTAAAATCAGATATGTTTGGTAGCTGGAGAATATATTCTCAATTTGCATTCCAATTTGTATATAATAACTCTTCTTCATGCATTCACTGCTACAGATAGACTATTAAATATCTGCAATGCGCACCGAGCAGCAGAATGCTTCTTCGTCCTCTTACCGGTGCACATATGATGCATTCTTGAGTTTCAGAGGCACAGATACACGCAAGGGCTTTACAGATCACCTCTACAGTGCTTTGGAGTGGGCAGGAATCCACACTTTTAGGGACGATAATGAAATTGAGAGAGGAGAAAACATTGAACAGGAGCTACGGACAGCAATACAAGAGTCACGAGTATCAATCATTGTTTTCTCCAAGGACTACGCCTCTTCCAGGTGGTGCCTGAATGAACTTGCTATCATCATGGAACGTAAAAGAACAGATGGACACATGGTTATCCCAGTTTTCTATGATGTGGAACCATCAGATGTCAGGAAGCAGATGGGCAGTTTTGCAGAATCGTTTACTAAACATGAAGAGCGCTTCAAGGACAAGGTGGAGGAGTGGAAGCGAGCTCTTAGAGATGTTGCAGACTTGGGAGGGATGGTTTATGGAGAACAGTAATTTTTCATTCCCCTCTTTTATTCAGTCAAGTAGATCAGAATCTAGTATCAAGCTTGTGAAAGTTTTATCTTTTTTTTTTAATTTTTTTTGTAAATAATTAACATGCTCGTGTTTTTTTTCTTTTGGTCTGAAAAGAAAGAACTTATCGTGCCTTGTATATTTTGATATCAATAACATATAGGTACGAGTCGCAGTTTATCCAAGATATTGTTGAAGAGATTGGAAATAAGCTGGACTACATGACGAATAGGAGATTAAGAGTTGAGCCCAATGTGATTGGAAGAGATTATCATGTGAAAAGACTAAACATGTGGCTGGAAGATGGATCAAATGATGTTGGAGTATCTGTCATCTATGGAATGGGTGGAATAGGCAAGACCACCATTGCTAAAACTGTTTATAACCAGAACTCCTATAAATTTCAAGCTAGCAGCTTTCTTTCAGATATTTGGGAAACTTCCAAACAAGCCAATGGTTTTGTTCACTTGCAAAGGAAGCTTCTTTCAGATATCCAAAAGGGGAAAATGGAAAAAATATACAGCCTTGATGAAGGTATCAAACGGGCTGTACATTGCAAAAGAGTTCTTATTGTTCTTGATGATGTAGAGAACTCGGAACAGTTCAATGCAATTCTTGGAATGCAAGACTGGTTCCATCCTGGAAGTAAAATTATCATAACAACTAGACATGAACATTTGTTAAAGGCTCATGAAGTTTGTGTAAGGTTTAAGGTTGAAGGATTACATGCGCATCAATCTCTTATGCTTTTCAGTTGGCATGCCTTCGGACAACCCCATCCTCAGGAAGGTTACATGGAGCATTCAAGAACCTTAGTAAAACATTGTGGAGGGGTTCCATTAGCTCTTCAAGTTCTGGGATCTTCTCTATTTGAAAAAACAGCAAATGTATGGGAAAATGCAGTACGCAACTTAGATGTTTTAGACGTGATTACTGAGGGAAAAATTAAAAAGATTCTTTGCAAAAGTTTTGAATCTTTACAAGATCATGATAGACGTTTATTCCTCCATATAGCCTGTTTCTTCGTAGGAAAGGATAAGGATTTCGCAACTACAATCCTTGACAAATGTGATTTTGTAACAGAGGTTGGACTTCAACATCTAGTTGATAGATGCCTTGTGGAAATTGATGCCCACAGCAAGTTAACCATGCATCAATTGCTTCAAGACATGGGAAGGGCAATAATTCGTGACAAATCACCTGAGGATCCTGGAGAACGCACTATATTGTGGGATAAAGATGCAATTAACGTTTTGAGAAAATTAACTGTAAGAAACATGATCTTTATTTGCATGTATTTGCAATGGTGTTCTGCATGTGACTAGTAACTTATCCAATGCTCTTATTTGTTAGCAGGGTACGAGAACTATCAAGGGCCTCATGCTCAACTTTCCCTCAATAGAGTCATCTCCGGTATTAAATGAGGTAGGTTTCGAGACAAAGGCATTTACAGAGATGCTCAATCTTGAACTACTTCTGCTTGATAATGTAAAGTTAAGTGGAAGCTATGAAGATTTTCCAAAAAATTTAATATGGCTGTCTTGGCGAGGATTCTCTTTAAAATCAATACCAGCCAATTTTTGTATGGAAAATCTAGTTGTTCTTGACTTACGGAAGAGCAGTCTGCAACATGTTTGGAACGGAACCAAGGTATATTCTAATCTCTCTTGCTCTCTCTCTCATTACACACACAAACAAACAAAAAAAAAAAATCAGTGAAACTAAACTGTGCATTCATAGCAACTAATGACTTATATTTGATACAGCTTCTTACAAGATTGAAAATTCTTAATCTCAGTCATTCACATGGCCTTAGGACAACATCTGACTTGTCTGGACTCCTTAACCTTGAGAAACTAATTCTTAAGGACTGCATTAATTTGGTTGATGTTGATGAATCCATTGGAAACTTGGGGAAACTTGTTTTCTTGAATCTAAAAGGCTGCAAAAGTCTTGTGAAGCTTCCAAAAAGCATGAACATGATGAGGTCTCTTGAGAAACTTATTCTTACTGGTTGCTCAAAGCTTGTGCTTCATGACAGTGCCATGGTTATTTACATACACACTACATCAAGGGATATGAATAAATTTAGACTGTTGTCAACTATATCATGGACACCAATCTGGTCTTGGTGGATGTGGGCATGGCCAAGAAAGACTCTTCAATCAACCAATTTCTCACTGGCAAGTTTACCACGTTGTTTGGGAAGCTTAAGTCTGTCTTACTGCAACGTGTCAGAGGTTCCCAATGATCTGTGTACACTATCTTCATTGAAGTATTTGAATCTAATTGGTAATCCAATTTTGTGCCTACCACAAAAAATGAAGAGTCTTATTATGCTCGAGACTCTTTTGTTAGATAATTGCACAAACCTTGAAATTCTTCCAGAGCTCCCACCAAGGTTGAAGAGGTTAGAAGCAAAATATTGTACTTCATTGAAAAGATTAACAAATTTACCAAACTTGTTCAGATCATTGGAATCACTTTTTTGGGGTTGTGAGCATTTAGTTGAAGTTGAAAGCTTGTTGAATATAAAACCGGTGAGAAGCGCTGACATAGAAATGACAAGATATATGGGCCTGTTCAATTTGAAATCCATAGCAAGCACTGATGTCGAAATGATCAACTACTTGACCAGTACAACCAGGAAGGCTCCTGTCCAGGTCTTTCTCTGTCTCCTCTCTCATGTATGGTTGTTCTAATTATTATATCTATGAACTAGTTCGGCCTAACTGTTTGAATAGTTAAATTTGAATTGTAGATTCTTGATGAAACAGGTACTCTATGAATGTGGCATATATAGCATTTTCTTTCATGGAAGCAAGATTCCAGATGGATTTGGCTTCACAATAATATATAGATCTGTGCTGTCAGTTATTGTACCTTCACATCCTATTCTCAAAATCCGAGGCTTGAATTCATGTGTGTTATATGCACAAGAACCAGGCTTGGAATATCGTCTTACTGTTCAGCATTTGATTAAAGTCAGTAATCAGACCAAGGGTCTTATGTGGACCTATTCCCCACTCACAGTAGGTTTGCCTACTGAGAAGGAAGATATGTTATGGCTAAGCCATTTTCGATTTGGAAACAACGAATTGGAGTATGGGGACGAATTACGTGTTTCAGTGGAGATGCATGATTTTGTCCGGGTAAAGGAATTCGGAATCCAGCTTGTGTACGAGCCGGAAAGACCTCTTCTAGCCAGAATAATGTTGTTGCTGGAGATGTGTCACTATCAGCATCAGAGTACCAAATGTGGACAGGAAAATACTTTCTCAGTAATCATGGGCACCGTACTCATCAAGCTCAATTCCGAAAGAGACAGGAGAATCCAGAACATATTGAATTTTCATTTGGGCCAGAGCGTCTATTTCATAAATTATTCAAGGCCCGAGGACCATTCGAAACTGTTGTGAAACTTAGAGCATATCCAGCAGATTCCGCATCTGCTTCTCCTCACCCATTTTGGCTAAAATAAAGAGAAACCTCCTCAGTTCTTTATCCAGCATCATTCATTTATGGTTGGAAAGAAACATCAGCATCAGTTTTCTTGGTGAGTATCGTCCCTTTATTCTTTCTTGTTATCTATTTCTGAATATATACTCATGGCTTTGTTGGATTTGTTGCTCTTTGCTTATTGTCTTTGATTTGTTAATTGAATGAATATATTAAACAAAAGGAGGGAAAGCTCTACGAACTCAGAACAACAAGGTCATAAGACCAATCAAGGAAACAACCGGAACAGTCCTCATGAGTTAGCAGATGATGTTTGAAAACCCCTATAGAGCAAAACCAACTTCAGCGTAACAGCAGTGGGACAACATGTATTTCTGAAAATCCTGCAATTAGTTTCCCTCCAAAGCCTACTCCTTACAAACGAATCTTGAGTTCCTGCGACGTAGTATTTGGGGTAACTTCTATTTGGACACATTTATATGAGCAAACTTTTCTTATTCTATTATTATGCATTCGGATTAGAAAGCGCGCGATCAATAAGATATTGAAAACGTGTATTTCCTGATACATTATATAAAATTAATAATTCGCTAAATTCATAAGATAATACATTATAGAAAATTCATATAGATCCTGAATAATATGTGAATTAATAATTTCCTGATACATTGTGCTTATGATTCGACAATGAGGCCTTCTTAAAATATGACTCAATGATTGTTTGTTTTTTTTCTTGAAATTGATACCTTGGATCTTATCTTTTTCTTAACATGACAAGAAGTTCTGATGTGGTTTTTTTCATATTGCAACAAAAAATTATTCAATGTCATCACCGCTTTGAGAACTTCTTTTCGGGAAACGGGCTCCATAGTAGAACCATGTACAATCTTAGAAAATAAGTAGATTCAAAATTTTACTTGGTTAAACAATAAAATTGTTAGTTCGTAAAATGAGAAACTAAATTAATAACTTATTAATTTATCAATTATTTAATATTTTGCTAAATTAATTAAAAAAAAATTGTGGTCTCAAGGCTATTAATTTATAGAGGTCTAATGGATTTAGATAGAGGAGACTAGGTAGGTTTCCCTTTAAAGAGTCTGATATGGTTGCTTTAAGTCTCACTTCTGCCATAATCTAGTTACATGCCACAGTCAGATTTTCCTTTCCCTGTTGAGTCAAGTTCTCAACATTCAACGTAGAAATGATATGAATTTCCACCATTATTGTGTTTTGAGGTTTTGAGCATCTCCCCTTCATACAATGGGAATGCACTAACCATGGTATCCCAAATCAATCATGCACCACCATGCTTGGATAAACTACAGAAATGTCTCCGCATGGCATGCATGATTGACTTGAGATACTGCCAGAATGTCATCTTTAATGTAAGGAAGTTTTTCTCCTCTAAACATTTGTTCACCAAGGAATTTACATGTGAAATGAAACTCTAAGAAATGAAACTCTAAGAAAAGAAATTTAAAAATGAGAAAGTGATCCACCTAATCACGTGTGTCGGTATGTAATTGGGCCACGCAAGGACTAATGAACAAAAATTTTAAATGTCACAATACAAGCTATAGTAATTTGTTAATTGCATTTGATTTCATATTGTTTTAAGTTACAAGTAGCAAAGACAGGGAACAAAAATGGAATGATAATCTTTGTGAGATCCTATTCTAAAACAAATTTCCAACACTCTGAGGGCCTGTTTGGGATTGAGGTGATTAAAAAAAAAGCTACTATGAAAAAAAGCTATGAAAATTTTTGATGTTTGGTAAACTTTGAAAAGCAGCTTTGTTTCAAAGTTGAGGGTGAAAAAAAGCCCAAACCAGGAGATGACAAGAAGCTGCAAATAGCAGCTTCCAAAAGCAGCTTATTTTCACCCACACACGGGTGAACAGTGTACACGTTTAATGAAATATGAATAACCCAAAACTGCCCTCCTTTCCCTTCACCTACGCTCTCACCTTTCCAGAGCTCTCTCGCACGCACTTCACCTTTCAGAGCTCTCTCGCATAACCCGAACCAGAGCAATCTCTCTCGTTCTCTCGTTCCAAAAACTAGCGAACTTGTTTTCTCGTTCTCCAGGTTTCTCCAGGTAAGCTTCTCTTGTAAAAATTTGTTATTTATTCTCACAACAACTTTTTTTCAAAGCACAGCAATACCAAACCAGCCCTAAATCTTGCAGCTTTTAGCTGCTCTGTGTTTGACCAATTAGTAGAGACAAAATTGGAAGAGATCATCCTGTAATTTCTAGTTAAACAAATCAAGGGCAAACAATTTTACGCCGCCCTTACCTAGTTTACCCTTCCTTAATGTCAACCTCTTCTCTTACAAAATTTGTATAAGCCTAACCTGCGCGCGCTATACATTCCTAATTCTAATCTTGGGACAATGTAAAAAGGAGTGCAGCGGGAAGAAATATCTACCCCAGCAACCTCCATGGCATCACAGACCACTCGGGCACATGACTTTTTTGAAACTACAAGACAATAAGGTGTAAAACATTTCAGAGCTATGTGGCAGGTATTGCACAGAGGGGAAACAAAAGCACAAGGCTCTCTAAGCAAACAATAACAGAGAAGAATCGTCGTATACACAATCGTTTTCTACCAATAGCGAATGACATAGCAGACAACTAGAAGAGAGTAATGATTCTCAATATATAGCTTTTTTACTTATCCTTTAAGATTATTCACAAGAGCATTCGATTTTCGTTAGAAACGCCAGGAACTAATTACTTCTCCTTGAAACGGTGTCTTCCAAGACAGAAAATCCTTAATCTCAGTCACTCACATGGCCTGATGACAACCCCTAACTTGTCAGAAGTCCCTAACCTTGAACAATCGATTCTCAAATATTGCTTAAATTAGGTCGAGGTAGATGACTCCATTGGATACCTTGAGAAACTTGTTTTCCTGAATCTACGACTGCAAAATGTGAGTGCTGGAGATGTGTCAGCATCAATGTATCAAATATGGAAAGGCAAATGCTTTGTGTGTAATCACAGTCTAGACCATACTCATCATCCTCAGTTCATATTTCAGAAAGAACCGGAAGAACCCGGCTCATCTTGATTTTTCATACCATCCAGAGGGCTGCTTTTTTAATAATCATTACTTACTTAAGCACATAGAGTTTCCTCAGGAGGACGATGAATATTGTTGTGTAACTTGTGTTTTGCCATCCGAAAGGGTAAGATTTTACAAGAGAAAAAAAAAAAGATAAAGAAGGCGATGATTATTGATTGCGTCTATTCGAAAGAAGTGTAGATTTGGGCACTATCCATTTGCGGTGCAGATCATCGAGCGTTGAAGAAAAGATCATGGTTTGTTTTCTTTTGTGAGTCTTATTTTCTGTTTCTCTTTGTATAGTATATACTATATACGTATTTTGTTTGAATAATTGAATCCTCTTAACTCGATCTTCTTCAAATACTTGATGTGGATTTCATATCTGAGCTCCATATTGGTTCCTATCTGAGCTCCTTCAGCGGATAAACAATGTGGTCGGTGAATAAAGGAGTTTAATCCAACTTAACTGTTAACAATCAGACGGGCAGATCTTCCCGTTGTTTATTTTCCCGTTTCTTCTTAATTTTTTGTTTTTGCTCCAATCTTTCTTTATTTTTTTCTTATGTTTTTGCTCCAATCTTTCTTTATCACATGACCGTAGCTACTTTCTGATTAAATACTATTTTTTTATTTCTTAAAAATAAATTAAAAGCTACTTAATACTAGGGTTTAGTGATATTCATCTTTACTTATAAATGAAAGATGTCTTATGCTCGATTCTCGTCACTTAACCTTCTTAATATAGATAATATCGTCTGTTGAAAAAATAAATTAATTAATTAATTAAAACACTAAAATTAAATAATAAAAAATTAAATAGAAATCCAACGGTCGTCAACTTCCTCACCCCGGTGTGAGATTTGTCCAAATGTTAGATAATTTGGGTTGGGTGAGGTGGGTTGGGGTCGCTTCTCATCTATTCATTCACCCCTTCACATCTGTGCATCCACCCCAATTTAGATGATCTGGAATCTTGGATTAGCAATATTTTTCAAATAACAGAGAGGAGACTGGAGAGAGAGAGAGGAGTGAGGAAGAGCGAGATGGAATGGGATGGTTAGATTTTGGAATTGCTATGACATAAAAATATTAATAATGAAAGTTAATTAGAGTTATGTGAGAGGACACGTGTCAAGCTGAATTTGTGTTGGTAGCATACACTAGGGTTAAGTTTGGGCAATTTTGCTCACCACCCTCAAATGATGGTGATGCTCACCACAATAGAATATCAGGTACGCATAACAAACATACGAACAAACAGATTATAAATTACGAATATTATTTGATTAACGAAAAAACAAAGAAATAGGATTGCCAAGACGGCTACACTTAAAGACTACATTTTAATCAACTTATTATCATACTGAATTATAAGCTATATTTATAGAGAACAAAACCTAAGAAACCCTAATTTGAATGAGCTAAGCCCAAATCTTAAATTAACAAGCAAACTCAAATAATTAAATAACTAATTTTCCAAAACCCCCGTCAAACTCATGGTGGTACACGACTTGAGTTTGCCAACAAGAAAATGTCGATGCAGGCTTCGCTACGTGGACAAGCAAGCAAGCTTGGCTAGGCTGAACTTGACTTGACTTGCGAATTGGCAAACTGATTTTGTTTCAAACATGCATGAGGGTATGGAAAGAAAGCATATGAATGCTCCCCATCACTAAACGAACGAAATTTTCATATTCCAATTGCAGTAACGGACGGACAAAAAGAATATTATCACTCAAATGGTCACAAGTCCCAATACTTACGTAACAGTCGCAAAATTCCTATACAGGCCAACTCGTGTGGGCCTCAAGGACTTCAAACAAAATCAAACAGCCCATTTCTTTTTGCCCTTTCCCGGTGTGGGCCGAAAGCTCAACCAAATTCCAATTTTTTCTTTTCCGTGTGGGCCTCAAACATACCGCCACTTTTTCTCCTTTCTCTTTTCCTTTTTCCCTCTTTTTCTTTTTCTTTTTTACCGATCCCTATAATTGTTGCCCCCAACAAGACAATTTTGCTAATTCTTATTAACGAAGAGGATTTTTCAATCTTACTACTTGTTTTGAATTTGCCTGTGTTCAAATCTGAACTGAATCATTTCTTTTTTAAACAATTGGTGTCGGAGAGGGGGCCTCCGCAGGCTTTTATCAACTTTGAGTTACAAGTTCATTGAAAATTAATAATTGATTTGTCTCCTTAAGGAAGAAAGGCCATATGTCACATCCTGGTCCGGGTCCCCACCACATCTCGGGCCCGCTCTACACCCGTCTCGGAAAGTCCACTAGGATTCTAAATCGAGCTGTGCTGGGCGACATCCGGAAGGTGACGAAGCCATAGAATGTGATGATGTGTAAAGTGCGAATAAATTTAAACCTAAAAGTGCCTATATACACAACTACGCGGTGAGTGGGTATGGACCCATTTCACACATGATACAGAGCATAAAACAAGTACAGTGAACAAAGATAATAATTATACCATCAATATATGCCACCATAACTGGGAGTGCCACATGTTCTCGTCGATACGGAGCCATATTAGTAGAACCTGGAGGGGTGAAAAAATAGAAAGTGTGAGTGGTCAAAACAAAGATTTTCAAAATCATTTCCATTATCAAAGGTAGTAACCCCACGCTGAAAAACTCGAATAGTTTATAGAAACAAAACCGTGAGGGTGTGGTCGGGGCCCAAAGCAGACAATATCGTGCTACGGTGGTGGAGCAGGCCCGGGATGTAGTGGGGGCCTGGGCCGGGATGTGACACCATAGAGACGTGGTGTCGGATGAACTCTTTACAAGTCCATTGAAAATTAATAAATGAATTGTCTTTTAATTTAATTATTATAATAACTAATTTATCTTTTTTTAAGGGAATTGTTATTGGTATTCTAAATTTCTCATTTTACATTTGAAACTTTCTATATTTAGAAAGAAAAATATACTTGTAAAGAATGTAGAATGTGATTTTTAGAGTATCAATAATACTTCCCTTTATTAATTATCTTTTTAAATGATATTGTAAGAGTAGGATTTGAGCTAAGTCACATGCTATAATTTGATACGGAAAATCAAATCTAAAACATTCTTTTCTATAAATGGAGAAGATATTATTACACCGTAGGGCTAGAGAAATTTATGATTGAATCTTTAGATTTTGCATTATAGTCGCTCTATAGTGACTCTTTTGTGAATGAAAAAATGATTACTCAATTTTCGTGGAAAACGCGAATTATACATGTACCTTACCTACTTTTTGGAAAAGCCATGTATAATTGTCTGCTGACTTTTATCAGTAAATATCTCATGTAAATGTTGGTTTGTTTGGGCTTCCCGACCCTCGTTTACCCCAAAAAAAGTAAAAAGAGAAAGCAAAAGACTAGTCCTTCTTGAGCTTCTCTGGTAGCATGATCATCTCCCACATCTTCTTCTTCATCAACTCTTAAGACCGAAGCCCATTCAGATCCTTGGAAGTTTAAGCATGGTGGAGAGGAACCATACTTATCAACTTGAGTTTGCGAGTTAGCGAAATTCGATTTGTGAAATCGTCCATTTCAAAGTGTCTTTTTGAAGAAACTAGTTGGGACTTTCATCCAACAGCTTTCGGCATCTTACAATACACAACTCTGGTGTCTGCGAGGTACCTCCAAGCTCCCCTCTTGTGAAATCATACCTCTGCTTGTATTATTTGCTTTCAATTGAAATCTTCATGGCCGATGAGTCAATGCATTGGCTTTGGATCCTCTTGCTTTATTATCTTTATTTTTCTTTTTAATATTGTCTTATGAAATTTGTTTTGAGTCTCTAGCTCACAATTAAAGCACGTTACACTGAAAAATTCCTCTTAGGCAGTGGGTCATTCTCTTTTGTTTATGAAAAAAATCATAAACTTATCCAATAACCACCACATATCATCCCTGTTAACTACATTGCAAAAGATAAAGTTGGTACAGAGGAAGAGGAAGATAATAAAGAGAAAACTAGAGAGAATGTATTGATTAAATGGATAAAATGTATACAAATGAACTTAATGAAATACTAGCTATACAATCCCGCTATATTCCAATTACAATAATACCCCTCTAACTATATTTCTGTTATATCAGTTATTACTCCCCCCTCAAACTAAACTTGGAGTATCCAAGTGAAGTTTGAGCTAGCCAGGTATTTGAGACTGATCTGGAGTTATTGACACTAAGGCACTGTGACTGGACCCTTTTTGGAACCTTTGATTTGCTGCAAACTGGTGACGTGCATCTTGAATTTCCCATGAATGCAACCAAGAACTCACTGAATACTTGGAGAATGGCACTCCAAGAAACTAAATCTACCAAGGAGAATGACACTTTGACTAGAGTTACTAAATCCAAACGCATGTCCATTGCATATGTGGCACTTTGACTAGAGTTACTAACTTTTGGATTAGCATGCTGCAAACAAGAAAGCACCTTGTCTTCATCCCCAGTTTCTTCACACAACGATATGACATAGAGTAATCACCCACATAGCTTATCATCTGGTTTAACCCCTTTTTTCAACTACAACGCCAAATACTCGAACCATATCACCAAATCTTCCCAAAGAGTTTCATCCGCTCAAACTAATTTCTACAACTTTGTAGCTACTGCAAACCAAATAGAAATTTGCACAGCTAGCTTGAAGGCATTTTAAACCACAAAAATGTACATAACCAAATGGTGCCAAACTGAACCCTGTATCATCCTTTCAAACAAACATTATGCAGATACAATCTCTCCATCCAAAAAACCAATATTCCTCTGCCTCTCACAGGATCTTCACAAAGAATTTCCTTCTTTAAGGAGTTGTAGCACACCCTCATGCCGGTTATAACAATTTCTTGCGGGTTTACCCTTCGTGGGATTTACCGTCAACAATCTCATTCAACTTGGCTTCGGCCTTTAATATTTACAAAAAACAGAAAATTAACAAACTATAGTGTGGCATCGGCCTTAACTATAGCACCACGGGATCGCCCTTTGTGGATTTTACCAAAAAAAAAAACACCTTTGAACAATGGCATCGGCCTTCACAATTTCAACAACTGAAAATCAACATCCATGTAGGATTACCCTTTGTGGGATTTACCTACTCAAAACACGAGATTACCTTTCATGGGATTTACCGTTAACAACTTCTTCTAACTTCATCGAATAACCGGACTTACTGTAGATTCATGCTAACAACTGAGCTGGTTAGACTCGACATTATAGGCTGAGATAAGGGAAAATTACTGCACAAAACTCCTAATAGAGTTGCAGAAAATTAGTGAAGTAGAGAGACAAGAATTGGATACTGCAAAATTTGTTGAGTAATTCTACAATGAACACCCTAAAGATACCACCAGCAATCCTACTCGCACGAACCCCAAGCGATGCTGCAGTTACCAGTCCTAGACCACCTTCTGACCCTTCACCCCAGTTTTATGATGAAGTCAACATGCAGCATTCTATAAAAAATAAAAAAAAAACTGCAACTTATGAGTTTCATGATGACGCTAAATTCCAGTGTTCTACTAGCCTTCAGTCACCACCTAAGTTTCATGATGAAGTCAATGGCCAGCATTCTACTAACAATGTGTCACCGCCCATTTCACCAAACATATCAAGATTTGCAGAAAAATCAAATCCAATAAAATTGCAGCATATCAGTGAGAGAGAAAGAACTGGACACCATACACATTGCACAATCCAGCAATGACCAATATTCTTGAATCCAAATACCCCAAATATCACAAATACTGATCCCAGAGAAGATTCACAAGAAAGATGAACAACATAGTGAACATTCTCTTACTGAAACATTTAATCAAACAGTTTATATGCATTGTGAAAACCAGAAATCAAGAACCTGATAAGAACTTCAATCTTGACCCACTTCCATTCTTCAAGATTTCATCTTTGTTGTCTCCAATGGCAACTTACTTGTCTTCTTCACTATCCCTCTCTCTCTCTCCTCTCTCTTTACAAAAAAACTGAGAGCGAACTGTGAGAAAGCAATTACAAAAAGCTGAGAGCTTTGACAACTTCCTGTTGTGAAATGGTGAGTCTCTGCTAGTTTGTGGAGATGAGAGCACCGTTTGGAGGCCTGATCGGTTCTAACCCCAGTGCCAACGGATCCCAGCCCAAACATGGCGTCGGCGGAGCAGTTGGTACTCGAACTCAGCAACCCCCAACTTCGTGAAAACGCGCTCATTGAACTCTCCAAGAAGAGAGAATTATTTCAAGACTTGGCAACAATCGCGATCCCAACAATCGGACAAAAAACAACTCAAGAACAATTGCGGAAGCACCGAAAATCTAATAGAAATTTGAAGAGAAACTAAACTAGGGGAAAAGAAAATTGTAAACTACTACGAAGAAGAGAAACCACCAGAATCCATGGCGTGAGCTGGTGGCTCTGATACCATGTTAACTACATTGCAAAAGATAAAGTTGGTACAGAGAAAGAGGAAGATAATAAAGAGAAAACTAGAGAGATTGTATTGATTAAATGGATAAAATGTATACAAATGAACTTAATGAAATACTAGCTATACAATCCCTTATATAGCCATATATTCCAATTACAATAATACCCCTCTAACTATATTTTTGTTATATCAGTTATTAATCCCTTATTGACATAATTAGATTCAAGCGCTACATTTTATAATTAAACATTAGTCAGGTTTTAGTTTTTTATTCAAGTTCTCTGAATTTTGATTAAACGCTTTAACTTTATCTGTGATCTTTTCTTAATTTTTAACTCAATATGTTATATAAATTTAAAGAATATAAATATGGGTCTCTAAATTCATTGAAATTGTTTTGTAAGACTATATTTTTTTTTTTTTTTTTTAAGAAACGTGAACTAAATCCATTCATGAAAAAAGATCCAGTCCTTTTCTTTTTTTCTTCTTAAAATAAATATGAGTCATTATTTTAATAATTAATTTATTAAAAATTGATAAAATATAGTTTTGTATAAAGTTTTGATATGAATTTCTTTTAGGGTTACACATAACGTGTCATTAGCTTTTTACGTACCAACGCCTTCAAACTTAAGCCACAGCCCACTACCAGTCCAAATCCATAAACCCTGCCACTTTAATTGTTTTCAGAAGAGTGGCAGTTTCGTAAATAAAATGAAATGCAGCAAAAGTATAGTGCCAATTCTTCCCCAATTTAGACTATAGTAATATGAAAAATTCCATCTCCAATCAGACTTTCATTCTTAATACAAGTTAGCATACTTACTAGAAACACCAATTTTTTTTGTTTTCCTGGGTATTACTAGAGACATCAACTTATTAGTTTTTGCATCAATTTTTTAAATCCCAAATTTTGTGGCAATGTTTCAACGTGTTTTCTGTTCACATTTTACAACAAATAAGAATTTGCATTGTGACTTGTTAACCAATAACTGGTGTCTCTTGCACTATTATTCTGTTTATCATTTCTTACATACTTCCAAAATTAGACACGTAATATGATTTGCATCTCAGTGTTAAATCAGATGTGTTTGGTAGCTGGAGAATATATTCTCAATTTGCATTCCAATTTGTATATAATAACTCTTGTTCATGCATTCACTGCAACAGATGGACTCTATTCAATAGCTACGATGAGCACCGAGCAGCAGAATGCTTCTTCGTCCTCTTACCGGTGCACATATGATGCATTCTTAAGTTTCAGAGGTGCAGATACACGCACGGGTTTTGCAGATCACCTCTACAGGGCTTTGGAGTTGGCAGGAATCCACACTTTTAGAGATGATGATGAAATTGAGGGAGGAGCAAACATCGAACAGGAGCTACAGACAGCAATACAAGAGTCACGAGTATCAGTCATTGTTTTCTCCACGGACTACGCCTCTTCCACGTGGTGCCTGAATGAACTTGCTATCATCATGGAACGTACAAAAACAGATGGACACAAGGTTGTGCCGGTTTTCTATGATGTGGAACCATCAGATGTCAGGAAACAGACAGGCAGTTTTGCAGACTCATTTACCAGACATGAAGAGCGCTTCAAGGACAATATAGACAAGGTGGAGGAGTGGAGACGAGCTCTTAGAGAAGTAACAGACCTGGGAGGGATGGTTTTAGGAGAACGGTAATTCAGTCAAGTAGATCAGATGCTAGTGTCAAGCTTGTGAAAGTTTTAGCTTTTCTTTTTTTTAAATAAAAAAAATTAAATAAATAACTTGCTCGTTTGTTTTCTTTTCGTCTGATATATTTTTATATCAATAACATATAGGTACGAATCGCAGTTTATCCAAGATATTGTTGAAGCTGTTGGAAATAAACTGGACTACATGAACATGTGGAATAGGAGATTAAGAGTTGATCCCTATGTAATTGGAAGAGATTATTATGTCGAAAGCCTGAACACCTGGCTTGAAGATGGCTCAAATGATGTTGGAGTAGCTGTCATCCATGGAATGGGTGGAATAGGCAAGACCACCATTGCTAAAATTGCTTATAACCAGAACTTCTCTAAATTTCAATCTAGCAGTTTTCTTTCAGATATTAGGGAAACTTCCAAACAAGCCAATGGTTTTGTTCACTTGCAAAGGAACCTTCTTTCAGATATCCAAAAGAGGAAAATGAACAACATATACAGCCATGATGAAGGTATAGTAAAGATCAAACGGGTTGTACGTTGCAAAAGAGTTCTTATTGTTCTTGATGATGTTGAGAACTTGGAACAGTTCAATGTGATTCTTGGAATGCGGGACTGGCTCCATCCTGGAAGTAAAATTATCATAACAGCTAGACATGAACATTTGTTAAGGGCTGAAGTTTGTGTAAGGTTTAAGGTTGAAGGATTACCTGAGCATCAATCACTTAAGCTTTTCAGTTGGTATGCCTTTGGACAAGCCCATCCTCAAGAAGGTTACATGGAGCTTTCAAGACCTGTAGTAGAACATTGTGGAGGGGTTCCATTAGCTCTTCAAGTTCTGGGATCTTCTCTATTTGGAAAAATAGTAGATGTATGGAAAAATGCATTACACAACCTAGACGTGATTACTGAGGGAAAAATTCAAAAGATTCTTGGCGTAAGTTTTCATTCCTTACAAGATCATGATAAACGTTTGTTCCTCCACATAGCCTGTTTCTTCGTAGGGAAGGACAAGGATTTTACAACTACAATCCTTGACGAATGTGATTTTGCCACAGAGGTTGGACTTCAACATCTGGTTGATAGATGCCTTGTGGAAATTAATGTCCACAACAAGTTAATCGTGCATCAATTACTTCAAGACATGGGAAGGGCAATAATTCATGAAGAATCACCTGAGGACCCTGGAAAACGCACTAGACTGTGGCAAAAAGATGCATTTAACGTTTTGACAAAATTAATGGTAAGAAACATGAATTTTATGTGTATATATTTGCAATGGTGTTCAGCATGGTAACTTATCAAATCTTCTTATTTGTTAGCAGGGTACGAGAACCATCAAGGGCCTCATGCTCCACTTTCTCCCAACAGATTCATCTTCGGTAAATGAGGTAGGTTTCGAAACAAGGGCATTCACAGAGATGCTCAATCTTGAACTACTTCTGCTTGATAATGTAAAGTTGAGTGGAAGCTATGAAAATTTTCCAAAAAAATTAATATGGTTGTCTTGGAAAGGATTGTCTTTAAAATCAATACCTGCAAATTTTTGTTTGGAAAATCTAGTTGCTCTTGACTTACGGAAGAGCAGTCTGCAACGTGTTTGGAAAGGAACCAGGGTATGTTCTAATCTCTCTCGCTCTCTCTCTTTCTCTCTTTCTCTCTCTCTCTCACTCAATACACACAAATAAAAATAAATTTCAGTCAAATTAGACTCTGTATTCATAGCAACTAATGACATCTCTTTGATACAGTTTCTTACAAGATTGAAAATTCTTAATCTCAGTCATTCACATGGCCTTTGGACAACATTTGACTTGTCCGGACTCCCTAACCTTGAGAAACTAATTCTTAAGGACTGCATTAATTTGGTTGATGTTGATGAATCCATTGCAAACTTGGGGAAACTTGTTTTCTTGAATCTAAAAGACTGCAAAAGTCTTATGCAGCTTCCAAAAAGAATGAACATGATGAGGTCTCTTGAGGAACTTATTCTTACTGGTTGCTCAAAGCTTGTGCTTCATGACAGTGCCATGGTTATTTACATACACACTACATCAAGGGATATGAATAAATTTAGACTGTTGTCAACTATATCATGGACACCAATCTGGTCTTGGTGGATGTGGGCATGGCCAAGAAAGACTCTTCAATCAACCAGTTTCTCACTGGCAAGTTTACCACGTTGTTTGGGAAGCTTAAGTCTGTCTTACTGCAACGTGTCAGAGGTTCCCAATGATTTATGTACACTATATTCCTTGAAATATTTGAATCTAATTGGTAACTCAATTTTGTGCCTACCACAAAACATGAAGAGTCTCATTATGCTCGAGACTCTTTTGTTAGATAAATCCATAAACCTCGAAATGCTTCCAGAGCTGCCCCCAAGGTTGAAGAGGTTGGAAGCAAAATATTGTACATCATTGAAAAGATTAACAAATTTACCGTTGTTCAGATCATTAGAATCACTGTTTTGGGGTTGCGAGCAATTAGTTGAAGTTGAAAGCTTGTTGAATATAAAACCGTCGAGAAGCGCTGACATAGAAATGAGAAGATATATGGGCCCGTTCAATTTGAAATCCATAACAAGCACTGATGTTGAAATGATCAACTACTTGACCAGTACGGCCAGGAAGGTTCCTGTCCAGGTCTTTCTCTCTGTCTCCTCTCTCGTGTATAGTTGTTCTAATTATTATATCTATGAACTAGTTGGGTCTAACTGTTTGAATAATTAAATTTGAATTGTGGGATATGAATGTGGCGTATATAGCATTTTCCTTCCTGGAAGCAAGATTCCAGATGGATTTGGCTTCACCACAATATATGGATCAGCGTTGTCGGCTATTGCATCTTCACATCCTAATCTCAAAATCCAAGGCTTGAATGTATGTGTTTTATATGCAATAGAACCGGGCTTGGCAGTTGATGACTATCTTGTTAATGCTCAACATTTGATTAAAGTCAGTAATCAGACCAAGGGTCTTATGTGGACCTATTCCCCAGTCACAGTAGGTTTTCCAACTGAGAAGGAAGATATGTTATGGCTAAGCCATTTTCAAATTGGAAACAATGAATTGGAGTATGGGGACCAAATACGTGTTTCGGTGGAGATGCATGATTTTTGGATAAAGGAGTTCGGAATCCAGCTTGTGTACGAGCAGGAAAGACCTCCTTCTAGCCAGAATAATGTTGTTGCTGGAGATGTGTCAATGTCAGCATCAGAGTAGCAAATGTGGACAGGAAAATACTTTCTCAGTAATCATAGGCACCGTACTCATCAGACTCAATTCCGAAAGAGACAGGAGAATCCAGCACATATTGAATTTTCGTTTGAGCCAGAGCATCATCTTCATACTTATATAAGGCCCAAGGAGCATTGAAAATAATTTGAAACTTAGAGCATGTCCATCAGATTCCCCCATCTACTTCTACTCACCTATTTTGGAGAAAATGAAGAGAAACCTCCTTGGTTCTTTTTCCAACATCAATTATCTTGGTGAGTGTCGTCTTTTTGTTCTTTCTTGTTATATCCTTCTGAATATAAACTCATGGCTTTGTTGGATTTGTTGCTCTTTGTTTATTGCTTTGATTTGTTAATTGAATGAATATATTAAAGAAAAGGAGGGGAAAGCTCTACGAACTCGTGTAGTTGATGCATGTAGTACTCAGTACTACCCTTTCAGACAATAATCCTAACTTTAATTCCCACTTAACGTGATATAATTTGGTGTCTGTAGTATGTCTGGTGGTCTAGATCACTCATTTGAGATATGCATGTGAACCAAAAAGCTGTTTAACTTGAAAAAAGGGAAAATTTAGCATGCCCCTGAACTTTTAAAATGTTGGGAGCAGCTCAGGTTTGACTCCCAGCAAAGGCATGCTTTTCTTAATTTTTTCACGACTTACAGCTGGTGCGAGGGACCTCTGCGCGTTAACTATGTGTCAGTCTGGGTCCATTTATTCCCTAGCCATCAGTGTGCTGTCTAACTATGTCTTTTATATTCACAAAAAAGCATCGGCCGTCTTTACAGTGTCAAAACTGTTGACCGTGTTCAAACCGTGTGCAGGGCGTGTCGGCATGTCAGAGTGTCAGACACTTCGAGGTTTGGGAGTGTCCGTGCAATCTAGGCTTCAAGGACGAGATGGACAAGGTGGAGAAGAGCGCTTGCTGATGTTGCAAATCTGGGAGGGATGGTTCTAGAAGATCGGTAATTTCGCAGAACATTTTCTTTAATTAGAAAGTATTATCTATATATGACCTTTTATAACTCGTTTATTAGGCACATTATTGTTAGCTCATTGGAGGCTAAGGCCACCCCTCTTTCCTTTAGAATAGATAATATAGTTTGTTGACAAAAAACAATACTTGTTTATTAGGTTGATGATAGTAAAGCCATATGGAGTTGACGGATTTTGGGTTTATAACTTTATACTATCTTTCGTGTACCTTTGCAGCAATATTTTTTAGAAGACTCAATTTTTCAATGTCTTGTATATAATCTACCTGCATTATGAGGTTTCTTACTCATGTCAATCATCAATTACGTTTCTCACTCATGTCAATCATCGATTACTCTTTTCTTTAGATAAAAATTACGTAGTCTTCATATGATTTGATGTCTAATGACCATATGTTGTAGGTATGAGTGGCAGTTTATCTAAGATATTGTTCAAGAGGTTGGAAGTAAGCTGGATCGCGTGGCAGTAAATGTTGCTCCCTGTGCTGTTGGAATCGATAATTGTGTGCACGGAATAAACAGATGGTTAGAAAATGATTCGGGTGATGTTGTTGCAGCGGTTATCTATGGGATGGGTGGAATTGGTAAAACCACCATTGCCAAAGCTGCTAATAAGACGAACCTTGCAAAATTTTAAGGAAACGGCAGCTTTCTTGCAGATATTCAGCAACTTCAGAACAACCTCATGGTTTGGTTTGCTTGCGAATAAATCTTTTTTCCGATATCCAAAGGGTGAAAGTAAAGAAAATAAGCAAACATGAAGGACTAATCAAGATCAAGCATGCTGTAGGTTGCAATAGAGTTCTTATAGTTCTTGATGATGTGAACCATTTGGATCAATTCAATGCAATTCTTGGAATGCGATAGTGTTTTCACCCGGGAAGTAAAGTTACCGTAACAACAAGACATAAAAGGTTCATGATATTTATCCAGTATTTGAGATTAAAAAACTGAGTGAATATGAAACACTCAAGCTATTCAAGTGACATGCCTTCGGGCAAGCCAATCCCATTGAAAGTTACTTGGAGTCATGAACCTCGACCAATTGAAGCAATCTTTGAGAATCAATTGCTCATGGTTTGGGACTTCTGAAAAGTTGGGGGTTGTTATAAGGCCATGTGAGTGACTGAGATTAACGGTTCAGTCTTGGAAGACACTGTTTCAAAGAGAAGTAATTAGTTCCTATCAGGAACATAGCGATCCTTAACTGTGTGTATGAGAGAGAGAGAGAGAGGAGAAGGGGGATTTGCAGGTGTGGGATCCAACAGTGAAGATATAACAATCCAACAGGAAACACCTCCTTGGAGTCACAATGTGAGTGCTGGAGATGTGTCAGCGCCAAAGTATCAAATGTGGAACAGAAATACTTTGTGTGTAATCACAGTCTAGACCATACTTATCGTCCTCATATCAGAATGAACAAGAAGAACCCGGCACATCTTGATTTTTCATACGAACCAAAGGTCTGCTTTTTTAATGATCGTTACTTATTCAAGCACATAGAGTTTCCTCAGGAGGACGATGAATATTGTTGCGTTTTGCCACCTGAAAGATAAAGAAGGTGACGATTAATGACTGCATCTATTCAAAAGAAGCGTAGATTTGGGCACCTTCCAGTTGTGGTGCTGATCATCGAGCGTTAAAGAAGAGATCATGGTTTATTTTCTTTTGTGAGTCTTATTTTCTGTTTCACTTTGTCTAATATAGTGCATTTTGTTTGAATAATTTAATCTTCTTAACTCGATCTTACTTCTGTATATTTGCATTTTGGTTGAGAAACAGCGTTACTTAACAGTTAAAAATCAGACGGGCACATCATGTTGTTGTTTATTTTCCAGTTTCTCCTTAATTTTATGTTCTTGCTCCAATCTCTCTTTAAATTTTCATTAAGGTGTGAGAGCAAAGGTGAGATGTGCTTGAGAAATAAGGAAACATTTTTGCTACCAAGATATTGTATGTTCTTGCTCCAATCTTTCATTAACTTCTCTTAATTTTATGTTCTTGCTCCAATCTCTCTTTAAATCTTTGTCCTCTTACAGGTGCACATATGATGTCTTATTGAGTTTCAGAGGCGCAGATACACACAAAGGCTTTACAGATCACCTATACAATGCTTTGGATTCGGCAGGAATCCACACTTTTAGAGATGATGATGAAATTGAGAGAGGAGCAAACATTGAACAGGAGCTACAGACAACAATACAAGAGTCACGAGTATCAGTCATTGTTTTCTCCAAGGACTACACCTCTTCCAGGTGGTGCCTGAATGAACTTGCTATCATCATGGAACGTAAAAGAACAGACGGACACATGGTTATGCCAGTTTTCTATGATGTGGAACCATCAAATGTCAGGAAGCAGACGGGCAGTTTTGCAGAACCGTTTACTAGACATGAAGAGCGCTTCAAGGACGAGATAGACAAGGTGGAGGAGTGGAGGCGAGCTCTTAGAGATGTTGCAGACTTGGGAGGGATGGTTTTAAGAGACCGGTAAATTTTCGTTCTCTCCTATATTCAGTCAAGTAGATCAGATGCTAGTCTCAAGCTTGTGAAAATTTTAGTTTTTAGTTTTTTTTTTTTTTTTTTTTTGAAAAAAAAAATAAAAAAAATTAACTTGCTTATGTTTTTTCTTTTGGTCTGAAAAGAAAGAACTTATTGTGCCTCGTATATTTTGATATCAATAACTTATAGGTACAAGTTGCAGTTTATCCAAGATATTGTTGAAGTGATTGGAAATAAACTGGACTACATGACGAATAGGAGATTAAGAGTTGATCCCTATGTGATTGGACGAGGTTACTATGTGGAAAGCCTAAACATGTGGCTAGAAGATGGATCAAATGATGTTGGAGTAACTGTCATCCATGGAATGGGTGGAATATGCAAGACCACCATTGCTAAAATTGCTTATAACCAGAACTTATATAAATTTCAAGCTAGCAGCTTCTTTTCAGATATTAGGGAAACTTCCAGACAAGCCAATGGTTTTGTTCACTTGCAAAGGAATCTTCTCTCAGATATCCAAAAGAGGAAAATGAATAAAATATACAGCCTTGATGATGGAATAAAAAAGATCGAATGGGCTTTACGTTGCAAAAGAGTTCTTATTGTTCTTGTTGATGTGGAGAACTCAAAACATTTCAATGCAATTCTTGGAATGCGAGACTGGTTCCATCCTGGAAGTAAAATTATAATAACAACTAGGCATGAACATTTGTTAAAGGCTCATGAAGTTGTAAGGTTTAAGGTTGAAGGATTGCATGAGTATGAATCACTTAAGCTTTTCAGTTGGCATGCCTTTGGACAACCCCATCCTCAAGAGGGTTACATGGTGTTGAACTCTAAGTATTTGAGCTGAAAAGTTTTAGAATAAGTTTGTTTAAATTGGTGTATCCACTTGTGCAGAATGAGGCAAAGTGTAAATGTCTAGTTTTGTAAAAAGGCCATGAGTGCCATGTGTTGATAGATCCATGAAATTAGAAAGATGTGTGTCTAGGATGAAATGTAGTGGTTTATGTGGTCCCAAGTTAAGGACCTTCAGTTAATGTAAAGCACGTTAGTGCTCCTTTCTGAATAGAGAAGAAATATTCCTCTGTAAAGTTTATGCAGTGAGAAGATCAAGAAACCATTCGTTTTCTCCAGTTTTTTTGTTCATCGTTTTGTTTTTCTGTTCAGCTCCATCTACATCAAAACACTCATTGATTCAAGTAACACTAACATGGCCTCAGAGCCTAGTTGGATTTAACAATCTGGGCGTAAATCTGTGAAGTTAACGAGCTCAATCGAAGCTCTCTTGAAACTCTGTGAAGGTTGTCGATTCAGATCAAAATCATGTCTGGATCTGGAGGCTCGGAAGTGAGGACTCCAATCTTCTCCGGTGAGAACTACGAGTTCTGGAGAATCAAGATGGTGACAATCTTCAAATCACATGGGTTGTGGAATCTGGTGGAGAAAGGAGTTAAAACGTCTGATTCGAAGAAGAAGAAGTCTGAAGGATCGTCGAAGGATGATGGAGATGAAGAAATGTCAGCTGTGTTGATGCAAGACGCAAAGGCTTTGGGAATCATTCAGAATGCAGTCTCGGATCAAATCTTCCCTCGAATCGCCAATGCCGAGTCAGCGAAGATGGCATGGGATTTGTTGTATGGAGAGTATCATGGTGGTGATCAGGTACGATCTGTGAAATTGCAGAATCTTAGAAGAGAATTTGAATATGCTAGGATGCGAGATGATGAGTCTTTGTCTAGCTATCTTACACGGTTGAATGATCTAATTAATCAGATGAGAACATTTGGTGAATCTTTGTCGAATGAGAGACTAGTGCAGAAGGTCCTGATCAGTCTTAGTAAACCTTATGATTCTATCTGTTTGGTTATAGAAAATACAAAGTGTCTAGAGACTGTAGAATTGCAGGAAGTAGTTGCAATCTTAAAGAGTCAAGAACAACGGTTTGATTTGCATATGGTTGATGCAAATGAGAGAGCATTCTCTTCATTTTCTGTGAATCCAAAGGAGCAGAACAAGAGTGGTGGTCATTCGAGTTCATCTAGAACTCAGAGAAATTGGAATTCTAAAGGCAAGAAATGGGAATCAAAACCCAAATTTCAGCAGAAATCTCCTCTGCACAATTATCAGAGTGCAAATGCATCTCAGTCAGTGGGTCAGGAGGTTGCAAAGCCTCAGTGTAAAGTGTGTTCTAAGTATCACTTTGGTGAGTGTAGATACAAAGGGAAACCAAAGTGTTTCAACTGTGATAAATTTGGGCATTGGGCTAGAGAGTGTAATGTAGGCAGGTCAGTGCAAAAGGCAAATAATGCAAGTCAATTGGAGATGACAGGGAATCTGTTTTATGCAAACAACACTGTCTCAGAACCAAAGGTGAATGGAGAATGGTATATTGACAGTGGTTGTAGCAATCATATGACAGGAAATGTAGATTTGCTTGTTGAGGTTAGAACAAATGTAGCTGGTAAAGTTCAAATGCCAACTGGAGATCTTGTGAATGTTGCAGGAATGGGATCTTTAGTTATTGATACAAATAAAGGGAGAAAATATGTTAGAGAAGTAATGTATCTTCCCGGGTTAAAGGAGAACTTACTCAGTGTTGGCCAAATGGATGAACATGGATATTTCTTGGTGTTTGGAGGTGGAATGTGCAATGTGTATGATGGTCCATCACTAGAATGCTTGGTTATGAGAGTGAAAAAGAAAGTGAATAGGTGTTATCCACTGACTTTGTTCTCTGAGAATCAAATGGTGCTGAAAGCTAGTGTCACTCACTCCACTGAGATTTGGCACAGGAGATTTGGACATCTACATTTTGGTGGTCTCAAACAATTGAGAGACAAGGAAATGGTACGTGGTTTGCCACAGCTTGCAGATTACAATGGAGTCTGTGAAGGTTGCCAATTTGGTAAACAGCACAGAGAAGAATTCCCTAGAAATCAAGTGTATAGAGCAACTGCTCCACTTGAACTGATTCATGTTGATTTGTGTGGACCTATGAAGACTGAGTCAATTGCTGGAAATAAGTATTTCATGCTGCTGATAGATGATTTTACCAGAATGATTTGGGTCTATTTCTTGAGATATAAGTCAGATGCGTTCAGCTGTTTTAAGAAATTCAAAGTTATGGCAGAATTACAAAGTGGTTTCAAGATTAAGACTCTGAGAAGTGACAGAGGAGGGGAATTCAAGTCTGCAGAATTTGATCAGTTCTGTGAAAAGGAAGGATTACAAAGACAATTTACTCTTGCATATACTCCACAACAAAATGGAGTAGTGGAGAGAAAGAACAGAACAGTGATTGAAATGGCGAAATCTATGTTGCATGAGAAGAGGATGCCATATTTTCTCTGGGCAGAAGCTGTGCATACATCTGTATATATTCTGAATAGATGCCCCACAAAGGCTTTAAACAACATTACACCTTTTGAAGCTTATTCTGGTAGAAAGCCAGGAATAGCCCATCTGAAAGTATTTGGATCTCTGTGTTATGTTCATGTTCCAAGTGAACAGAGACATAAACTTGAACCAAAAAGCTTAAAAGGAGTATTTGTGGGATATGCAACTTGTGAAAAGGGGTATAGGGTATTTGATCCATTATCTAAGAAGTTATTCTTATCAAGAGACATTGTATTTGATGAAGAAGCTATCTGGAATTGGGAAGAGGACTCAGGGTTAACACTTCTTAATACTGGAAGCTTTATTCACAGTGATATAAGCACAGAGAGCAATGACAGAATGGTGTTGTCTCCTACATCACCTATATTATCTCAGTCTAGAAGAGCTCCTAATAGTGAAGACTATGAACCTCAATCCAGGTCACCTATTTTAAGTGAATCTTCAAGCATGTCAAATGTAATTGAAGGACAAAATCAAGCATTTGATAATACACCATTGAAGTGGAGAAATCTGAATGATGTATTGGCTCAATGCAATATGTGTATCATGGATCTAGAGAAGTATGAGGATGCCAAACAAGATGAGTCTTGGTTAAAAGCTATGGAGGATGAGCTGTTTATGATTGAAAAGAATGGCACCTGGAAACTTGTTGACAGACCAACTGAAAAACCTGTTATAGGGGTTAAATGGGTCTAACAAACTAAGTTAATTCTTGATGGCTCAGTGTTGAAGAATAAAGCAAGATTGGTTGCAAAAGGCTATGCACAAAAGCTTGGTTTGGATTACAATGAGACTTATGCACCGGTTGCTAGGTTGGATACTATTAGAACATTAATAGCCTTGGCTGCACAAAAGAGCTGGAAATTGTATCAGTTAGATGTGAAATCGGCTTTCTTGAATGGAGTTCTACAAGAAGAGGTTTATGTTGAGCAGCCTGAAGGTTTTGCAGTGAAAGACAAGGAAGAAAAGGTGTACAAACTTCATAAGGCCCTCTATGGTTTAAAACAAGCTCCGAGAGCTTGGTATGGAGAGATTGACAGCTATTTCTCTCAGTGTGGATTCAAGAAAAGCTTGAGTGAACCAACTCTGTATATAAAAGCAAGGGGAGAAGATATTCTAATTGTGTCTATCTATGTAGATGATATAGTCTACACTGGTAGTTGCAAACCAATGCTAGAAGAGTTCAAAGAAGATATGAAAATGAAGTATGAGATGACAGATTTAGGTCTCCTTCACCACTTTCTTGGGATGGGAGTGATACAAACAGATTCCAGCATCTTCATTAATCAGAAGAAGTATGCAAGCTCTTTACTGAGTAAATTTGGTTTAAATGAAGCAAAGACTGTCTCAACTCCTCTGGTAGCTACTGAGAAGCTATCTAAGGATGATGGAAGTGGATCTGCAAGTGATGAATTGTATAGGAGCATTGTGGGAAGTCTCCTATATCTCACTGCTACAAGGCCGGATATAATGTATGCAGCTAGTTTATTGGCCAGATACATGCACTGTCCTACCAACAAACACTATGGAACTGCAAAGAGAGTACTCAGATACATCAAGGGAACTCTGGATTATGGCTTAGAGTATGTGAAAGGAAGAAAAGCTTGCTTAATTGGCTTCTGTGATAGTGACTGGGGTGGTTATTTGGAAGACAGCAAAAGCACATCAGGATATGCATTCTCATTTGGCAGTGGTGTGTTTTCCTGGGCTTCAGTCAAGCAAAACTGTGTTGCACTCTCAACTGCAGAGGCTGAATATATAAGTGCATCAGAAGCAACTACACAAGCAATATGGCTAAGGTTTGTTTTGGAAGATTTTGGAGAATTACAAACTGTAGTTACTCCTCTTCACTGTGACAACACATCTGCCATTGCTATCACAAAGAATTCTGTGTTCCATCAAAAGACAAAGCACATTGATAGAAGGTATCACTTTATTAAGGATGCACTGCAAGAAGGAATCATTGATTTGGTATACTGTCCCACTGAAAAACAGGTAGCAGATATCTTCACAAAACCTTTGTCTAAGGAACGGTTTAACTATCTTCGAGATATGCTTGGTGTGAAATCAGCTCAAAACTTAAAGGGGAGTGTTGAACTATAAGTATTTGAGCTGAAAAGTTTTAGAATAAGTTTGTTTAAATTGGTGTATCCACTTGTGCAGAATGAGGCAAAGTGTAAATGTCTAGTTTTGTAAAAAGGCCATGAGTGCCATGTGTTGATAGATCCATGAAATTAGAAAGATGTGTGTCTAGGATGAAATGTAGTGGTTTATGTGGTCCCAAGTTAAGGACCTTCAGTTAATGTAAAGCACGTTAGTGCTCCTTTCTGAATAGAGAAGAAATATTCCTCTGTAAAGTTTCTGCAGTGAAAAGATCAAGAAACCATTCGTTTTCTCCAGTTTTTTTGTTCATCGTTTTGTTTTTCTGTTCAGCTCCATCTACATCAAAACACTCATTGATTCAAGTAACACTAACACATGGAGCTTTCAAGACCCATTGTAGAACATTGTGGAGGGGTTCCATTAGTTCTTCAAGTTCTAGGATCTTCTCTATATGGAAAAACAATTGATGTTTGGAAAATGCATTACACAACTTAGACGTGATTTCTGAGGGCTAAATTCAAAAGATTCTTGGCATAAGCTTTGATTCTTTACAAGATCATGATAAACGTTTATTCCTGCATATAGCCTGTTTCTTCGTGGGAAAGGACAAGGATTTTACAACTACAATCGTGAAGAAGAAGTTAATGTCCACAAGAAGTTAATAATGCATCAATTACTTCAAGACATGGGAAGGACAATAAGTCGTGAAGAATCACCTGAAGACCCTGGAAGACGCACTAGACTGTGGCATAAAGATGCATTTAACGTTTCGAGAAAATTAACGGTAAGAAACATGATCTTTATCTGTATGTATTTGCAATGGTATTTTGCATGTGACTAGTAACTTATCCAATGCTCTTATTTGTTAGCAGGGTACGAGAACTATCAAGGGCCTCATGCTCAACTTTCCCTCAACAAAGTCATCTCCGGTATTAAATGAGGTTCGTTTCGAAACAAGGGCATTTACAGAGATGCAATGGTATTTTGCATGTGACTAGTAACTTATCCAATGCTCTTATTCAACTGTTTAAATAGTTAAATTTGAATTGTAGATTCTTGATGAAACAGGTACTCTATGACTGAGTTGTTCGTCGAGCCATGCGCCCCACCCTCCAACTTCAGCCCTGATCCTCCTTGCTCACTCGATATGGATCACGCACAGCAACACACACAGCACGGCAAACACACACGCAGCAGTCGCGGCTTGCTGCAGAGATGCGGCGAAGACCACAGACTTGCCCCTTTTTTTTTTATATTTGTTTTCACTGCAGCAGCACGGCGGGAGCTTTAGGGTTACACTTTGGCTCTGATGCAAAATTGAATTTTACAGTTGGATTTTTCTGTATTTCATAATTCTGAATAAAAATACATACAATTCTTGTTATAAAATGAAAAAACAATAAGGGACACACTATCCTTCGATTCCTTCCTAAAACATGACTATTAGGCCCTGTTTGGCAGCTCGGACTGTACTGACTATTTCTGTCGGATAGGATAAATAGCCACCGGATAGTACTGACTAAATTAGTCGGGCGTTTGGTGCAGTATCGGATTAATGACCGTATTACTTATACTGTGTTTGGTACTGAACCGGATAGGATAAAAGAAAAAAAAAATTTAACAAAACTTTCTTTGTTTGTTGAACTTTTCTCATATTTATACCTATTGAAAACCACATAAATTTTCAAATAACAAAGAAAAATAGTAAATTTCATACATCAAATTCAAAATATTTTCTAATAACATAAAAAAAGGTTCACAAAAAACAACTACAATCGTTACGATATATAATCCAACCACCTCAATACACTTTCGTACATCATTCCATGCAAAACCAGTTTTATTAACCATGTCATAAACTATTGCATAATCTTTTTTCCACCTCCTCATTTTGGACTCAATATGTGGAATTGCCTTTATATTGGCATTACGACATATAATCAATAATGCATATAATTAATAGTAAGTGATAAAAACCATAAGCAAATCATCACACTTTTTAAATAAATACATAACCAGGTTGCACTTTGTTCGAATAAAGTATCATAACCGAATACATAAGAAATCACTATTTGTTCAAATAACAAACCATAACCAAATCACAACATGCATATGTAAAAAAATTTAATCAAATCACACTTGTGCACGCCACTCATTGTACATATTCATAGCCAAAGTGTTTCTCCATGCAGTCCATTCTTGTGTAGGTTGAACACTGTCAATCATATCTTCATCATCATCACTACTTTCAGATTCGTCCAAGTTTAGGATTTCATTTTCTATTGGATCAGCTGACATATGCCTTCTAATAAGATTATGTAATAGGCAGCATGCTGTCATAATCCTAAATTGTGTTTTAATTGGGAAAAATGATGGACCTCTTAAGATGCTCCAACGCATCTTAAGTAGTCCAAAACATCTTTCAATGATATTTCTAGCTTGAGCATGTTTCATATTAAAATACTCCTCATGATTAATCGGGAGTCTTCTATTTCTCCACTCCGAGAGATGGTAACGCACTCCCCTATACGGTGCAAGGTATCCTGGACCATTTGTGTACCCACCATCCACAAGGTAGTAACACCCTAACACAAAAAAAATGTATGTTACTATATATAAGAAAAATGAGGATTCAAATTACTAATATAAACAAATAATCTATTGTTACCCGTGGGAACTTTTAATCCCGATGGTCTACTTATCGCATCTCGGAGTACTCTAGAATCAGATGCCGACCCTTCCCAACCTGGGTACACAAATATAAAATTCATGTCCACATTACAGACTCCCAACATATTGGTCGCAATCTCTCCCTTCCTTGATCGGTATCTTGGTTTATCTCGCTCAGGGACATGAACGTTAATGTAAGTCCCATCCAATGCCCCCAAGCAATTCTAAAAAAAATCATTAACATTAGTATGCTCAATATATTTAATTACATTAATTTTAGAAGTAATTTTTATAAAATATGAAGAATACCTCAAACCAACTCCATTTAGGATCTGGGTAGGTATTAGGAATGGGTTCTGGCACTTTCAAAAGTGTACCTTGTAGCCTTAACACTCCATGTAGAATGGAATTGAAATACCTACTTATGGTCTCCCCCGATCGACAAAACCTACTCCCAATTGTACGATTCTTGACATGATGTGCAAGTATATGCAAAAACATGCAAACTTGTTCTTCCATTGTCACTACACCATCCAATTTTACTCTACCGTGGTCACGAAGCATTTGACATAAATAGTGGAACGTTCTTCTATCCATTCTAATTTGGTTCACACACTGAACATCATCATATCCTATTATGCTATCTAAATAGGCTGACCCTACCATTCTCCTAACAAATGTGCGATTTCTAAGTGCAAGTTGCCGATTCCGCCTTCTAGCTGAATTATGATTCTTGATGAACCACATCATCAACCAAGTCACAATATTCAAGTACCACACGCTAACAATGAAGCATGCCGCAATCTTTCTTTGATCCATGTCTAGTGATAATATAAAATAACATTATTAGATAGTGGCAAAAAATTAAGTAACTGGAGCATGAATGCATAATAACACTGAAAACGGAAGGAAGCATGTTAACACACACACACACGCACAATCTGCACACACACACGCTGCACACACACACACACACACACACACACACACACACAATCTGCATACACACACACACACAATCTGAACACACACACACGCTGCACACACACACACACACACACACGCTGCACACACACACACGCTGCACGCACGCACACACACCCTGCACACACACACACACCCTGCACACACACACACACACACCCTGCGCACACACGCACGCACACACACGCTGCACACACATACACACACACACACACGCTGCACACACACACACACACACACACACACAATCTGCATACACACACACACACACAATCTGCACACACACACACACACACAATCTGCGCACACACACACACACACACCCTGCACACACACACACACACACACACCCTGCACACACACACACACCTTGCACACACACACACACACACCCTGCACACACACGCACACACACACGCTGCACAAACACACACGCTACACACACACACACACACACTGCACACACTATCTGCGCACATCGCTGCACACTACACACACCCTGCACACACACTGCACACACTATCTGCGCACATCGCTGCACACACACACACACACACGCACACACACACACACACGATGCACACACACACACGCTACACACACACACTATCTGCGCACATCGCTGCACACACACACCCTGCACAAAAACACACGCTGCACACACTATCTGCGCACATTGCAAGCACAGACACACACACACACACACACACACACAGTTAAAATTGTAAGTTCAACACCAACAACAAACCCTAAATTCGACCCCAATAGAAAACCCTAAAATTCAAAAATTCTAATTAAAACACAAAATTACATAATCAATTGCATAATTAGAGAGAAAATGATAACTAGATTCAATCAATTGAAAGAAAATTGCAAGAAAAATAGGAGGAGGGGCGGAATCCTAGAAGAAGAAATTTGAAAAGTATTGTGATTCAAACGAAGAAGAAGAAGTTGAGAAGACGAACCTGGGATGAGAGGAAGAGAGAGTGCCTGGAGAGGAAGAAAGAGCACCTGGAGAGCACTGGAGAGCGCCTGTAGAGGAAGAGATGGCGAGGAACTGCTCTTTCCAACCGAAGCCCGACTAATTTGTACCGTGTATTTGCACGGTATTACTAAGCAGGTAAGCACCGGGTAAAAAATGTGGGTCCGGATTATTTAATCCGGTGCTTATTTAATCCAAACGGTCACCAAATACGGTACACCGTATTATTAGTCCTATCCGGTGCCTTATACGGTGTACCAAACAGGGCCTTAATTACAAAATATTTACATTCATTTTCTCCTAAATATTGACCCACACCAATAGTTGTTGATATGGAATTAGAGAAGCAAAAGCTTTAGCACTTATTAGTTCCCTTCCTTTTTGGCATTGTGTTAGACCATCTTCAATGGTGGGCTAAAACTTAAAATTTTCCTTTTTTTCACCCCTAAAATCCATTCTAACCCATGACCTAAAATTAACCTAAAACCCAAATGGAGGGCAAATACCCCCCCCCCCAATTTTAGGCCACAAAGCAAAATGGGCCCCACTAATTGAGACTGAAACCGGGGTTGTGAAGCCCACTGCCCACTCCCTACTCGCTTACGCGCTGCACGCTCTAAGCTTTCTCAAAATTTTGTACCAACCCACGTGGGGTTGTTCCCCCACTTTCAGACCATCAAGTAGCCGTTGGGCTACTTTTCTTCATCCAACGGTTCCATTTAAATGGACCGTTGGTTAATCCAACGATCCAGGTTCAAAGTAATTTTTTTTAGTTTTATTGAATCCAACGGCTTAGATCGAATATAATCAAATCTAACAGTAAAAAAAAAGATCTAAGTTTATGTGGTTTATTAAATGTCGTTTGTATTAAGTTTATGTGGTTTATCATGATTTTCATGTATTGATTTAGTGATTTTTTCAAATTTATCGGAATTTAAATATTTTTAGGTAAAAATATTCATATAATTAATTTAGTATAGTCTACATAATTTTTTTTTAAGTTAATTTAAAAAAAAAAAAAAAAAAAAAAAGCCTTAATTCATTCTTTGATAATTTCGGGCTAAAATTTTAGGCCAGGAGGGTTGGAGCAGAAAAGCTATTTCTGAGCTAAAACCTAAATTTTTTGGACCAAATATTTTTAAATTTTAGACCACCATTGAAGATGATCTTAGCGGCGGGACACATATGCAATATTCAATTTTTTAAAGAGGAGGCATACGTCGGTGGAGAGTCCAGAGAGACGCGTTTTCAGCTGGTTCCCGTAGCATTTCCCATAAATGATTGAATTTTCTTATACGACTGAGTATAAAAAATGACTACTGAAATTTCGTGTAAAACGCGTTTGGACCTTACATCTGCTGAATTTATTGGTTTGTTTGGGTTTCCCCACCCTCACTTACCGAAAACAAAACAAAACAAAAAAAGAAAAAAAAAAGAGAGAGGAAACAAGAAGCTCTCGTCCTTCTTCTTGAGCTTGTCTGGTAGCATGATCATCTCCCACCTCCTCTTCTTCATCAAATCTTGAGAGTGGCGCCCATTCAGATCCTTGGAAAGTTGAGCATGGTGGAGAGGAACTATAGGAAGCAACTTAAGGTTGCGAGTGAGGCAAAATTCGATTTGTGAAATCGTCCATTTCACAGTGTCTTTTTGAAAAAACTAGTTGGGACTTTCATCCAACAGTTTGCCGGCAGGAAGAAAACTCACAGCTTTCAGCGTGTGTGCGAGGTATCTCCAAGCTCCCCTTTTGCTAAAACATAGATCTGCTTGTATTATTAGCTTTCAATTGAAATCCTCATGGCCGATGAGTCAATGCATTGACTTTGGATCCTCTTGCTTTCTTATCTTTATTTTTCTTTTTAATATTTTCCTATGAATTTTTTTTGTAAGCCAATGGGTCATCTTCTTTTGTTTATGAAATAAATCATAAACTTATCCAATGAACTCCACATAATATCCCTTATTGACATAGTTAGATTCAAGCGTTACATTTTATAATTAAACATTTGTTGGTTTTTTAGTTTATCATTCAAGTTCTCTAAATTTTGATTAAACGCTTTAACTTTATCTGATATCTTTTTGAGAAATTTTATTTAGATCCATTTATCCTTTTTCTGCACCTAATTTATTATTTTTTATTTTGAAATTCCAAATGTACCAAATAATTCTCTTTCTACACCTGACAAGAACAAAAAGAAAATAATAATAATTTAACAATAAGTAACTCCAGCCACCCTATTTCTTCAAATCTCAACCACCCTGTTTCTAACCTCCCCAACCCCCACCGCCACCTCCCTTACCACCCACAACAATTTGGAAATTAAAACATTATTTCCAACAACCCCCGATTAAAAAACCCAAAAGAAACATGTCAATATATTTTTTTTCTTTTTTTAGAAAAATTAATGGTATTATTAACATATGGTCCAACACAATTAGATTCGACATGTCAACAATTTCGGCATAATTCGAACATGTTAGAAGGACTGCATGGAAGAGAGCTATTGTGTGGCCAGCGAAAGGTCGGGAAAGGGACATTGATAGCTGAGATCTTTAGGGGTTTCATTGTGGGTGATAAGAAGGTGGTGATGGGGGGTTGGGGTTTCTATACACGCAATCACATTCCTAATCTAATAAGACTGTAACACTCCCCCTTGAGTATGTAAATATTCAAACAAATGGCGCATTAGGTCTTCACCGATGAAGTTGATGAAGTTGTAGGCACAATGAGCAAATGCAAGTCTTAGATCAATAGAAGAATGCATAAAAGATAAAACTCACAAAACCTCGCTATGGTAAAACTCAAGATGGGAGAAAAACCCATAGAATAAGAAGAAAAATGAGAAGTTGCATTAAGTCAAAACTATACATCTTCTGAACGCAAGTAGAATAGCTCACAAGGGTATAACCAACCCAGGATGGGTGCCTTGTCAAAACCTAGTGGGAAAAATGTTCCTAATCGTAGCAAAAAAGAATGCAATAAGATCAAGTGAGTATACTTCTGGATACTCTCCCTGAGTTTGACAAAACTTCAAAATGGGAACTACAAGCATTACATATAAATAGTTAGGCATTTCAATTCCTCGGACAAGCTTATGGAAGGTTGACTTCGACAGTTACGTCGTATAGAAGTCGACAAGGTTGTCTAGGATCGGCTTGTATGACTTCAATCTCCTGATACTTTGCTGATGTGGAGTAGACGCAATATGTTTTGGCGTTAACTTCATTGATGTATCATGTCTTGGTCGGGTTGATACATGCGACATAGTCTTTATGAATCGTTGTCGGGACTCAACAATGGATGAAAACATCGCAGGTACTTCGAATGTGCTCAACAAGAACTTCTGACCATGTCTCACATGTGGCATCTCTTAGAACGGTTCGAAGATTTCACAACTAAGATCATATCGTGGACCTACAAGATATTGCGATATCACTAACAGTAAAGAAATAACCATTTGGAGATGTGCTTTGTGCGGGTTTGATAAGAAACTAGCGTCAGCATAACAAACAAGGCAATCATCATTCTGAGGACAAAGGGGTCAGATTGGCTTGGGATGCATTGGGATTAGACTAAATTCGGTGTACCTTCAAGGTAGCGGAAAATTGTCTTTAATACCAATTCAGTGGCTGCGTGTAGGCTCAGTGTTGCATCTTTACCAATAGATCAACAGCGAAGGAGATGTCATGTCTAATGCAATGAGCTAAGTACAACAAAGCGCAAAGTTGAACTCAAATATGAAACTTTGGATTCCATAACCTTTTCAAGGGTCTCATTTGCATATAGCGTTGGAAAATCATAGGTATACTCAAAGGTAACACCTTTAGGGTATAGTTCGATTGGTAGACCAAAGTACCATCAGAACAATGCTTGAACTTCAGGTCAAGGCATAAACGAGTTTTCCCAATATCCTTCATCTCAAATTTCATCTTTAGATGCAAGGTAGTTTTCTCAAGCTCTTCCAATCCATGTACTTTATTCGGGAACTTACATGTAAATATCCATAACAATATCCCCATGGAGAAACACTAACCACATTTTATAATGCTGCAATCAATCACAAGGCGTTTGAGGAAAACCTTGGGTTGTAAGGCGGGTGCATCATATCACACTATTTCATTCATCTCATTACGCTTCATTTCCCACTTGTAACACAACAGGGTTACCTTGGCAGTGTAGGAACTACGAGTCCAAAACCCACTTTGATAAGGAATTTAACCTGGATTGTAATTTTGATTGTCCAATCACTTCTATGTTGTCACTAATCAACAAAACACGGTTCGATATCGTCATTTTTCATTTATGTCGGTATCTACCATATAAGTGAGAACATCATCAATGATAATCTCATTTCAATTCCATTATCTCATCCAAACTAATATATTGGATCAATAATTTCAAGTCTCCAAAGTAATCCAGATTAATCTCATGAGATGGAAATGATTTGAGACAATGATCGAGTATGGATTTCAATGTGTGTCGTGATCTTCTTCTTTTAGGGATGTGAATCCTATGAACCGAGTGATCTGTTGTAGTTCAGGTCGAGACAAATTGATTGGCTATCCGCCGGTATACCAGACCGTCCTTCAGGGGCTGCACAGCCTTTGGGGATGTTGACTTGACGTCTGTTAAGTACGTCTATCCTTACATGCATGTTTACAGCTAGTATTGATCTCGTCACTTTAACTAGATCAGAGGAATGCGTTTGGAGCAATCACTTCTACGTTGGTAAGGAATTTAACCTGGATTGTAATTTTGGTTGTCCAATCACTTCTCTATTGTCACTAATCAAAATATCGTCATTTTTCATTTATATCGGTAACTACCATATAAGTAAAAACATCATCGATAATCTCATCCAAACTAGTATATTGGACCAAGAATTTCAAGTCTCCCGAGTAATCCTGATTAATCTCATGAGATGAAAATGATTTGAGACAACGATCGAGTATGGATTTCAATGTGTGTCGTGATCTTCCTCTTTTAAGGATGTGAATCCTATGAACCGAGTGATCTGTCGTACTTCAGGCCAAGACAAATTGATTAGCTATTCGCGGGTATACCAAATCGTCCTTTAGGTGCTGCACACCCTTTGGGGATGTTGACTTGACGTCCATTAAATACGTCTATCCTTACAGGCATGTTTGCAGTTGGTATATGATCTCGTCACTTTAGCTAGATCAGAGGAATGCGTTTGGAGCAACATTCTGAAAGTTAGAATTCATCGCACTTGCTTATCAAACTTGTGTGGTACAGGGATCAAGATGAGACACATTGAGCAGCGTCCATGCAAATTCACGTCATTCTACAGGAACGTTGACATTCTTATCTCCCCTCCCCTTAACGGCAGGAAGACTGTCTCATTGAAGTGACAATCCACAAAATGAGTGGTAAAGAGATCGATTGCAAGGGCTCTAAGAGAGCTAGTGCAAAGGAGAATCATGGCTAGTAGTATCCGAAAAGTAGCAAAAAGGATAGGAGAGTCCAAGGGCTTTGCTCCACACCAAAAAGAATCTTGGTGGTGGAAGGAAGAGGTACAGACAAAGGTTAAGGCTAAGAAGGAATGTTATAAAGTCTTATACAAGGAGATGACCAAAGAAAATGGTGAAAGGCATAGAATAGCGAATGAGGCGAAGAAAGCTGTGAGAGAAGCTAAGCTAGCGGCTTTTGACAATATGTATAAGCGACTAGATACTAAAAGAGAGTTGGATTTCTATAAACTAGCTAGAGTAAGGGAAAAGAAGACAAGAGACCTAAACCAAGTGAGGTGCATCAAGGATGAGAATGGAAAGGTTCTTGCTACAGAGAACGCGGTCAAAGACAGATGGAGAGGTTATTTTCATAATCTTTTCAATGAAGGACATGAAAAGAGTACTTCTTTGGGGGAGTTGAATAACTCAAAAGAGTGTGGAAACCACTCATTTTACTGTCGAATTAGGAAGGAAGAAGTGGTTGTAACTTTGAAAAAATGAAACATAGAAAAGCAGTGGGCCCAGATGATATACCGATCGAAGTGTGGAAAGTCTTGAGAGAGACGGGTAGAGCATGGCTCACAGACCTTTTCAGTAGGATTTTGAAAACGAAGAAGATGCCAAATGAGTGACGAAAGAGCACTTTGGTGTCTATTTACAAGAATAAGGGCGACGTACAAAATTGCATGAACTATAGGGGTACTAAGTTAATGAGTCATACAATGAAGTTCTGGAAGAGAGTAATTGAGCATAGACTGAGGCAAGAGACAGGTCTTGGACAACCACTTCGGGTTCATGCTAGGACGCTCAACCATGGAGGCAATCTATCTCTTACGAAGATCAATGGAAATATATAGAGATATGAAAAAGGATTTGCACATGGTCTTTATAGATTTGGAAAAAATGTATGACAGGATCCCAAAAGAGATTCTTTGGAGGATTTTAGAGAAGAAATAAGTATGAATAGCATATCTCCAAGCTATTAAGGATATGTATGATAGAGCAAGGATTGTCGTAAGAACTCATGAAGGACAAATAAAAAACTTCCCCATAACTGTAGGGTTACATCAAGGCTCATTTTTAAAGTCCTTACCTTTTTGCATTGGTAATGGATGAGTTAACAGGACATATTCAAGATGATATTCCTCGGTGTATGCTTTTCGCAGACAATATAGTGTTGATGGATGAAACTCAAGGAGTAAATGCGAAGCTTAACTTTTGAAGAGAAGTGTTGAAATCCAAGGGTTTTCGCCTAAGTAGGTCAAAGACAGAGTATATGGAGTGCAAGTTTAGTGCAAATAGAGGCTCAAATGAGTTAGGGGTGAGGATTGAAGATCAGGAAGTACCAAAGAGCGACCGCTTTCACTACCTAGGATCTATCTTGCAAAAGAACAGAGAGTTGGATGAAGACATCAACCAAAGAATACAAACTGGATGGATGAAGTGGAGATTGCATCCAATGTGTTGTGTGACCGTCATATGCCACTTAAGCTCAAGAAAAAATTATATAGGACGACAATAAGGCTGACAATGCTTTATGGCACGGAATGTTAGGCGGTGAAGCATCAACACGTACTTAAAATGGGTGTAGCAGAGATGAAAATGCTTTATTGGATGTGTGGGCACACGAGAAAGAATAAGATTAGGAATGAGGATATCCGAAGTAAAGTAGGAGTAGCTGAAATTGAAGGAAAGATGAGAGAAAATTGGTTACGGTGGTTTGGACGTGTAAAACAAAGGCCTATTGACACTCCGGTTAGAAGATGCGATTACAGGACAAGGGTTCAGGGCCGAATGGGTAGAGGAAGACCTAGAAAGATTTTGGAAGATATTCTAAGAAAAGACTTTGTACTTGGATCTAATGGAAAACATGACACAGAACCGAGTGCAATGGCGTTCTAGGATTCATATAGCTAACCCCACTTAGTGGGAAAAGGTTTTGTTGTTGTTGTTATTTGAGTAATACTAGAGCCATCAACTTATTAGTTTTTGCATCAATTTTTTAGATCCCAAATTTTGTGGCAATGTTTCAATGCGTTTTCTGTTCACATTCTACAACAAATAAGAATTTGCATTGTGACTTGTTAACCAATAACTGGTGTCTCTTGCACTATTATTATGTTTATCATTTCTTACATACTTCCAAAGTTAGACCTGTAATATGATTTGCATATCATTGTTAAATCAGATGTGTTTGGTAACTGGAGATTATATTCTCAATTTGCATTCCCATTTGTATATAATAAACTCTTCTTCATGCATTCACTGCTACAGAAAGACTATTCAATAGCTATGAGCACCGAGCAGCAGAAGAATGCTTCTTCGTCCTCCTACCGGTGCACGTATGATGCCTTCTTGAGTTTCAGAGGCGCAGATACACGCAAGAGCTTTACAGATCACCTCTACAATGCTTTGGAGTCGGCAGGAATCCACACTTTTAGAGATGATGATGAAATTGAGAGAGGAGCAAACATTGAACAGGAGCTACAAACAGCAATACAAGAGTCACGAGTATCAGTCATTGTTTTCTCCAAGGACTACGCCTCTTCCAGGTGGTGCCTGAATGAACTTGCTCTCATCATGGAACGTAAAAGAACAGATGGACACATGGTTATGCCTGTTTTCTATGATGTGGAACCATCAGATGTCAGGAAGCAGACGGGCAGTTTTGCAGAATCATTTACTAGACATGAAGAGCGCTTCAAGGACGAGATAGACAAGGTGGAGGAGTGGAGGCGAGATCTCAGAGATGTTGCAGACTTGGGAGGGATGGTTTTAAGAGAACGGTAACTTTTCATTCTCTCCTATTTTCAGTCAAGTAGATCAGATGCTAGTCTCAAGTTTGTGAAAGTTTATCCATTTTTTTTTTTTTTGAAAAAAAAATTAATAAATAAATAACTCTCGTGTTTTTTCTTTTGGTCTGAAAAGAAAGAACTTATTGTGCCTCAAATATTTTGACTTCCATAATATATAGGTACGAGTGGCAGTTTATTCAAGATATTGTTAAAGCGATTGGAAATAAACTGGACTACATGACGAATAGGAGATTAAGAGTTGATCCCTATGTGATCGGAAGAGGTAATTATGTGGAAAGCCTGAACACCTGGCTTGAATATGGATCAAATGATGTTGGAGTAGCTGTCATCCATGGAATGGGTGGAATAGGGAAGACCACCATTGCTAAAATTGCTTATAACCAGAACTTCCAGAAATTTCAAGCTAGCAGCTTTCTTTCAGATATTAGGGAAACTTCCAAACAAGCCAATGGTTTTGTTCACTTACAAAGGAACCTTCTTTCAGATATCCAAAAGGGGAAAATGGAAGAAATATACAACCCTAATGAAGGTATAGTAAAGATCAAACGTGTTGTACGTTGCAAAAGAGTTCTTATTGTTCTTGATGATGTGGAGAACTCGGAACAGTTCAATGCAATAATTGGAATGCGAGACTGGTTCCATCCTGGAAGTAAAATTATAATAACAACTAGACATGAACATTTGCTGAAGGCTCATGAAGTTGTAAGGTTTAAGGTTGAAGGATTGCATGAGGATGAATCGCTTGAGCTTTTCAATTGGCATGCCTTTCGACAACCCCATCCTCAAGAAGGTTATATGGAGCTTTCAAGACCCGTGGTTGAACATTGTGGAGGGGTTCCATTAGCTCTTCAAGTTCTGGGATCTTCTCTATTTGGAAAAACAGCAGATGTATGGAAAAATGCATTACACAACTTAGATGTGATTACTGAGGGAAAAATTCAAAAGATTCTTTGCATAAGTTTTGATTCTTTAGAAGACCATGATCAACGTTTATTCCTCCATATAGCCTATTTCTTTGTGGGAAAGGACAAGGATTTTACAACTACAATCCTTGACGAATGTGATTTTGCCACAGAGGTTGGACTTCAACATCTGGTTGATAGATGCCTTGTGGAAATTAATGTCAAAAACAAGAAGTTAATCGTGCATCAATTACTTCAAGACATGGGAAGGGCAATAATTCATGAAGAATCACCTGAGGACCCTGGAAAACGCACTAGACTGTGGCACAAAGATGCATTTAACGTTTTGACAAAATTAACGGTAAGAAACATGAATTTTATGTGTATATATTTGCAATGGTGTTCTGCATGGTAACTTATCCAATGTTCTTATTTGTTAGCAGGGTACGAGAATTGTCAAGGGCCTCATGCTCCACTTTCTCCCAACAGATTCATCTCCGACAAATGAGGTAGGTTTCAAAACAAAGGCATTTACAGAGATGCTCAATCTTGAACTACTTCTGCTTGATAATGTAAAGTTGAGTGGAAGCTATGAAGATTTTCCAAAAAATTTAATATGGCTGTCTTGGCGAGGATTCTCTTTAAAATCAATACCATCCAATTTTTGTATGGAACATCTAGTTGTTCTTGACTTACGGAACAGCAGTCTGCAACATATTTGGAAAGGAACCAAGGTATGTTCTAATCTCTCCCGTGCTCTCTCTCTCTCTCTCTCTCTTTCTCTCTCTCTCTCTCTCAATACACACAAATAAAAATAGATTTGAGTGAAATTAAACTGTATTCTTAGCAACTAATGACTTCACTTTGATACAGATTCTTACAAGATTGAAAATCCTTAATCTCAGTCATTCACATGGTCTTAGGACAACCTCTGACTTGTCTGGACTCCCTAACCTTGAGAAACTAATTCTTAAGGATTGCATTAATTTGGTTGATGTTGATGAATCCATTGGAAACTTGGGGAAACTTGTTTTCTTGAATCTAAAAGACTGCAAAAGCCTTATGAAGCTTCCAAAAAGAATGAACTGGTTGAGGTCTCTTGAGGAACTTATTCTTAGCGGTTGCTCAAAGCTTGTGCTTCATGACAGTGCCACGGTAATTCATGTACACGCGATATCTGGGGATATGAATAAACCTGGACTGTTGTCAACTTTATCATGGACACCAATCAGGTCTTGGTGGATGTGGGCATGGCCAGGAAAGACTCTTCAATCAACCAGTTTCTCACTGGCAAGTTTACCGCGTTGTTTGGGAAGCTTAAATCTGTCTCGTTGCAATCTGTCAGAGGTTCCCAATGATCTGTGTACAATATCTTCATTGAAGTATTTGGATCTAAGAAGTAACCCAATTTTGTGCCTACCACAAAACATGAAGAGTCTTATTATGCTCGAGACTCTTTTGTTATATGCTTGCACAAACCTCGAAATGCTTCCAGAGCTCCCAGCAAGGTTGAAAAATTTGAATGCAGCTTTTTGTACATCATTGAAAAGATTAAAAAATATACCAAACTTGTTGGAATCATTGGAATTCACTTTTCTGGGTTGCCCTCGGTTAGTTGAAGTTGAAAGCTTGTTGAATATAAAAACGTTGAGAAGCGCTGACATAGAAATGACAAGATATATGGGACAGTTCGATTTGAAATCCATAGCAAGCACTGATGTCGAAATGCTCAACTACTTGACCAGTACAACCAGGAAGGTTCCTGTCCAGGTCTTTCTCTGGTCTCCTCTCTCATGTATAGTTCTAATTATTATATATATGAATTAGTTGGGCCTAACTATTTGAATAATTAAATTTGAATTGTGGATTCTTGATGAAACAGGCAATCTATGAGTGTGGCATATATAGCATGTTCCTTCATGCAAGCAAGATTCCAGATGGATTTGACTTCACAATACAGACATCTGTGCTGTCAGTTATTGCACCTTCACATCCTAATCTCAAAATCCAAGGCTTGAATGTAGGCGTTTTATATGCCAAAAATGAACATCAGATTAAAGCCAGTGTAAAAAATTTGATTGAAGTTAGTAATCAGACGAAGGCTCTCATGTGGACCTATTGCCCACTCACAATATGTTTGCCAACTGAGAAGGAAGATGCGTTGTGGCTTAGCCATTTTCGATTTGGAAACAATGAATTCGAGGATGGGGACCAAATACGTGTTTCGGTGGAGGCGATTGCTTTTTGTCGGGTGAAGGAGTTCGGAATCCAGCTTGTGTACGAGCCGGAAAGACCTCCTTCTAGCCAGAATAATGTTGTTGCTGGAGATGTGTCACTGTCAGCATCAGAGTACCAAATGTGGACAGGAAAATACTTTCTCAGTATTCGTGGGCGCCGTTTTCATCAAGCTTGATTCCTAAAGACAGTAGATTCATGAATTTTACTTGGTTAAACAGTAGAATTGTTAGTTCGTTAAACGAGAAACTAAATTAATAACTTATTAATTTACCAATTATTTAATATTTTGCTCAACTAATAAATTTTTCGTAGTTTCAAGGCTATTAATTTATAGAGGTGTAACTGTACATGGTCAGTACGAGGTGATTCTAAACCAAAGTATCAGTTTTAGGAAATAATATTGAGGAGATGCAAAGGTTATAACTCAGAGATGAAAGGGCATATCCTTCATAGGTTTTTTTTTTTTTTTCTTTTTTTTTTGAGAAATTGGCCATTATCCTATAATTTCAAAAGTGTTTAGCTGAAATGGAAATATAGACACGAACAACAATATAGACAACATATTGATAGGATGAAATGTCTCAATTACCCCTTTCTATAATGGTCAATTTCCCTAGTTTTTTTTTTTTTTTTTTTTTTTTGAAATGCACATCCTTCTTAGGGCTAACTCGATAATGTCATTTAGTGTTAGGTTCTTCATCCTAAATGTTAAATTGAAACTGTTTAGTCATTTAAAATTTTAAAGCGTAAAGAAAAAACATTTGATTGAATATAAGTGAAAGAAAAATATGGATAAGAAAATGGACGCAAGCCATGGCTTTAATTATCCAACAGTTGCTCAACATCTGTTGGCTATGGGGAGCACCCATTAAAGGAGAGGAAGGCACATTCATTCTCTCAGTTTCAATGGATTTAGGTAGAGGACAATGGGTAGGTTTCCCTTAAAGTCTGATCTGGTTGCCTTGCAGGTTGGGTTCTGCCATAACATGCCAACAAGATTCCTGTGACACTTCATTGTCAGGTAAGGGCACTTGGTCCAAATCTCCTTGGCAAAGAGAGTTAGAATTTAAATTTCAATAGAATGATATGAATTCCAGCCTTTTTGTTTGAGGCTCATTCCATTCCTACATGGAATGCATCTATGCGGTACCAATCAAGCTGCCTCCTGTTTGGATAAATAGTAGTGCATGCAGTGCTGAGTAGTACGCCCAATGACATTTCTAAGTAAGTTTCTTCATTAGACTGTTCACTGCATGTGAAATGGTATTAAAATGAGAAAGGATCACTAACTGTGTCGGTATTAATTGGGCATTTTAAATTTAATAAAGCTTTAGTACTTTAACTGCATTTGATTTCATATTGTTTTAAGTTACAAGAAGTGAAGACAGGGAACAAAAATGGAAAGGTAATCTTTGTTAGGTGCTATTCTAAAACAAATTTCCAGCACTCTAAATCTTGCAGTTTTTAGCTGCTCTGTGTTTGACCAATTAGTTAAGACAAAATTGGAGGAGATCATCCTGTAATTTCTAGTGAAACAAATCAAGGGCAAACAATTTTACGCCTCCCTTACCTAGTTTACCCTTCTTCTATGTCAACCTCTTCTCTAGCAAAATTTGATTAAGCCGAACCTGTGTGCGCTGTAAATTCCTACTTCTAATCTTGGGACGATGAAAATGGAGTGCAGCAGGAAGAAATATCGATTCCAGCAACCTCCATGGCATCACACACCCACTCGGGCACATCACCTTTCGGAAACTACAAGACAATAAGATGCGACACATTTCAAAAATATGTGGTAGGTATTGCGCATGGGGGAAACAAAAGCATGAGGCTCTCTAAGCAAACAATAACAGAGAAGAAATGAGAGAATCGTTGTATACACAATCGTTTTATACCAATGGCAGATGGCATAGTAGACAACTAGAAGAGAGTAGTGATTCTGAAAATGGTTGGTGCAATATCGTTTTTTAACTTTTCCTTTTAAGATTATTTGCAAGAACATTCGATTTTTGTTAGAAACACTATATGGAGATTACAATAATTTTGGCTAATTACATTATCGTTTATAAAATATATAATTTTCAACTTCTCCTCGAGGATGATTATATGAATGCTAAATGTTGGGTGCACCAGGAATATGTTGAGAGAGAGAGAGATTGAAAATTTGGACAAGTGGATATAAAAAGATGAAGGGCGAGTAAAGAAAATACCATTTGTTGCAGAAAGTTGCATACAAACCTGCAACCAAAAAAGTAAAACAAAAATATAAAAGGGTTACTCTAGCAACAAGAAGAACAAGTGAGAAATTCAATTGAAAAAAAATATAGGCAAAATGACAGTTATGCATATTAACATCTTGCCGGGGAAATAACTTCGACAGATAATAAAATTAATGACGGTAAGTATATCACACAACAAATAAAGACCACGGTTAAGAAGGGTAAAGCAAAGGCAAACATACTCTGGAAACCTTCCTTCGATTATTGAAGAGTGCAGATTTCTACTTAGCTGCATTTAAAAAGGGAAACAAGAGCGGGCGGGAGAGTTTAAGTTATATATTGTATATGAAAAAATTTATGGGAAAATAAACTATAAGTACTTTGTGTTCTAACCTTCATCATGTAATATAAATTGTGATATGATAGAAGCTGAGATCCCATAGCATCTTTTGTAACCAGGCAATGAATGTAAGCTCTAGTATAATTTTTGCAGACCTACATTTGAAGAAATTGAATGAAGCAGTTATGCATCCTTAATCAACTTCCGTATTAGTATTTCACACAAAAGATTGGCCCATTTATGCGTACCATACAATCACATGTAGGATCAACAGGACGGGTATCTTCAGCCATCGCCTTGTGTTTGAGTTTCAGCACTCCCTGATATAAACATCACATAAGAAATTTTTCCTACGGTTGAGCTATGCATCCACATATCAACAGAAAATTTAGTCCGCTTTATACCGTATAGAGGCGCCTAATAAAAGTACACTTGATTGGAAATATCCGCATGAACGTTGCATTACACAGTTCTAAGTGCATTAGCAAACATGAAACAGTAGCTGGAAAGCTTTGAAAAAACACCAACTTGTTTCAAGCATGAGCACTATAAAGTACAAAGTTCGTTCAGAAGTTTTGAAAGAAGTAAGCGTATTTGTCACATTCATATAATAACAAATTTTAAAACAATCAGCTTTAGCTGATAGAACAAGAAGCAAGCATCCAAGCAAAATCAAAATTTGTATCTAATAAGAAATTATTCCTCCATTCTAATTAAGAAAGAAACAACAAGACTACATGAAGTTCAGAATTCAAACTAATAATCCTGACCAAACAACCACACTTAGTTGCAAACTTGACGGCATCATCAATCCAACGGTTATTTACTGAAGTGTTCAAATATATAAATCGTTCATATAAAAATCTTTAGTACACATACACACACGCATAGAGGGGCTCTTGTAAGCACATAAAATAAATAACTAATTTTTTGGGTGTATTCATTCTCTCTAGTAAGCAACTAAAATAAATAACTAATCATCCTGATGAAAGGAGTATTTAAATCATATAGATGTAATGGTTCAAGATTAGCTACTTATGACGATAACCAATAACAACAGTCGGACGGAATACATAAATATATCCAATAAAAATGTAAACATGTAGATTACAATGTTTAAGTAATCACCTCGGGTACAAGAGCTGTACCAAAGCGAGCAGTACGTGTAGGATAAACGCAGTCATACATATCAGCACCTAGAGCACTGCAAACTACAATATCCAGCGGATAACCAACACCCTGAAAGATGTGCAAGAAATATCATGACTTAGGAAACATAAAAGAAAGACCTAAAGGAAAGTAGTTAAAACGACAAGTCTACAGCACCATAACGTATCGTGGTTTCTCCTCAGGCAATGCAGCAGTGCACTGTGCAACCACACGCCAAAATGAATCCTTACTTTCACCGCCAGCAAGACCGCCAATAGCATAGCTGTCACAGAAGAAAACTTTGTCAACAAGAAAACTTCAGCTGCTATTAGTAGTTACCCACGCCACCAATATGAAACAGAAGTGCATGTGTAGTAGTATTGCAAAATTTTCCCTTCAGTGGAAAATTTTCCAAATCCAGTTAACCTATTAAAATAAGTGAAAACAAGTTGCTAATTCCACAGAGGTCTGAACCAATAAAGTTGAAATTAAGGAACTATACAGAAAAGTTCTTTTTCCCGTTGGAAAGAAAATAAGAGTTTTTAATTTTTTCTTCCACACTTGAAGTACACTCCAAAATATAATTAATAAGCTTTAGCTTTCCAAGAGACTAACATAAATGATTAAAATTTTAAATATGCAGGATATTTATGGTGTTTTTGTACCGCAGGCTGCGCTTATTATCTTTTCTTTTTTCTTGATACAAACGGTATTGGAGAAGAAGGAATCGAACTCGGGACCTCAGGTGCAAGAAGATTCTCTATGTGTGGCATCATAGTTCATTTTTACATACAAGACGCATTGTTACTATTTTATTATGGCATTTGACTACAATGCTTGCGTGTATTCAACACAATCACCACCCTACGGTCAGATGATGATTGTATTATATACATATATTCACATGAATTATACCTGACCGTCAAATGGTGATTAAATTAAAAACATGTAAGTATTGTAGCCAGTCCCTTTATTATAAGCTATATTACAAATTCAACAATTATCGTTATTGGTTAACTTCAAAAACTAGAATGGGATATCAATGTGTTGGATACAGCAACCTAGAACAAATCAGCCACCAAAGAGCACATACCCGGGTAAATTTCGATTCACCAAGCCCTAACACATATATCTCTGTTCACAAGTCATGGCATAAAGCAATTTGTTAGTTGTTACAGAGATATTATTAGTATAAGGAACAGAGTAATAACAAAGAAATGCACTAAACAATCAACATAAAGCAGGAAGATTACAGGTTCAGTTGAAGTTCACCTTAGTACAGGATCTAAGCCACCTTGTACAATACCAAATAAGTTCTGCTCCGTTGGTCTCTTGTGAGCTGTTATTAAAGCAATGCAGATATAAGAACAATGCTGACCAGCTGACTCGAAAGCATAAAATGGAGAACAAATAATATGCAATAAACATCACAAAAGGATAACAAATGAAGCTAGGGCAATAAAACAAAAGAGGTGCGCACAATCTAAGACTGTATACACCTATTATGGATGACTTGGCGATCTAAGGAACCGAAGAAGAAACAGCTCCACAAAGATAACTATTCAAATGGTTGGGATGTAAGCATAACATATCGTATAAATCTACTATGAGAAATTTGCCTAGTCATGACGTTGTAAATGTAAGAAACTCGCTATTAACAATTAAATTGGACCATCAGAACAGGCTTTCACCTAATTGAATAAACATAGCACTGCACAGTAGCTCTAAAGCCCAAGGATGAATCTTCTAGGAATCTAGGCCCTTATGGCAGATTTTCAGCATAGCCTTATCACACTGAGTTGATTATATATGAGTAAACATATACACATCATGCATATACATATACAAGAAACACCAGTGATCATCACTACAACATATTTCACCTTCAATGCATCTATCTATCCATCGTATAGTGCGATACATAGCCTCCTCAACTCTTGGACCGGTGATGGTGGTTTTGACTACATCATCGAGGGCCATAATAATATCTGCACCAATTCTGTTCTGCACGGATCATTGAAGGTGCGTAAGGAAGGTAGAGGGAAGCACTTAATGAGATCTATGAATTGAAGTATTAACTAACAGAAGTTTACTAGTACCGAAATATTATGTTACTGTAACAAGTTCTATGATGGGTTTTTTTCTAAAAGTTTGTTCTATTTTGCTTTCTCTTCTTTCTATAATTCCATCTCTTAGTGCTACATTGATATCATTATGACATCTCTATGCAGGACATTCAATGGCATAGTATGCCTCAAAGACACCCGGTGATAAGACCTTGCTAATTAACCCAAAAATTGCCCCCAGATAACTAAAACCAAAATGAAATAGATGTACATACTTGGATTTGAATTGACTCCTCAGGTGTCAAGAGCATTGGCTTTCCATCAACTGGTGACTGAAGTAGGCGAATAACCAGTTATGGTCCTTATGGACAAACGCAAAATAACAATATTCTTGAATACACATAATAAAACAGCACGAATCATATAAGTACAAAATGAAAAAAAAAAGTAACATAGCATTGACAATAAACAAAGAGTTGATTTTTAAATAGAATAAATGACAACGCCCACCTATGCAAAATAAGATGCAAAAATATAAGAAATGAATTTTTAAAGTTTGATACTCAACATTTTTCCAAAGTATGAAATGATTATTGTAATCTACGAAAGATGAAGATAAATATATGTTCATTGGCAAAACAAAATGATATCCGCTTATTACCGTCTCCATCAACCCCCCACCCCACATTTCCAATAAAATATAGCATTATGGACCACACAAAGTATTTACATCACTCACTCTTTTCCTAACAATTGAAAAGTTACTTCAATGCAATTGTTTAGAAAGTTTATAATGACATATTGGCCCTTAAGACTGGGGCAGGTGGCTGAAACGATAATCAAGTCACTAATAATTAAGAGCAAAAAAGGTTAATCATAGAGGTATCTCCATGCCCTCAGCTGTTCTGTTCGGTTCTCTCCAAGTACACCAAACCAAACATGAACAACATCACCCTTCTTTCCCCATGTCCACCATTGCATTTGGCCACTATGACTCACATATATTTGATATTCGGAATGCAATCAAAAGTAGAAATAATCGGTGACAGTAACTCTTTCACTGCACAAAGGTGGCTTTGTTCATCCCAACAAATATCTAAATTTCATTTCAAATCAATCAAATTCGGTGATTTATGTTTCTCCTTTCATTCATGGAAGAAGATACTGGAGACAACTTGTTGGTGATTGTAAAATTTTGACAGAGCTTGATCCGGTGACCCATAATAGCTCAACATGAGTGAATTACACAATCATTATTCAGCAACACCCAAGCTACAAAATACACTGACAAAATAAGAGATTACCTGAAATGTTACACCTTCTTCGGTGATGTCAGCTAAATGCAATAATGATACCTGAAAACACAAAATGAATTGTAAGAGTTCACTGCATACATTATTACTGATGCAGAAAAAAAGAGTCCACAAAAACAGCACACTAGCCAACAAAACAACCATAGCCAATAGCATGAGTTCGTCAATCAAAGCTTAGAAGAATTATCAAAAACTGGCCTACACATTATGAACGAAAGCCCGTTCTACTTCCAGCATAGCATACAATAGAAAAAGTAAGTTGGCTAGTAACCATATCTCTATTTAAAAACACCATCTTTGATATGTCAAGTAATTTATTAACAAAGTACAGTAAGCAAGCAAGCAAGTCATTGGAACAGGTAGATACTGACATGTTCCATGCCTCCTGGACAAATGCAACATACTTAAATAAGGGAAAGCTTAACTATGGTAACATAAAGTTCAATATAACTAATAAGAATCATAAATTAGCGGCAAACCTGGATAATGAGAATGGAAAAGAGGGAGGGGGAAGAGGCGGAAGGATTAGATAATAAATTCATCAAAATGCACAAGCATCCATTGGACGTGTTGCATAAGTAGTTCCAGATGGATTTGTCTTTCAATAGTACATCAACAAAACTATATATGTGGAAACAATTAAATTAAATCAATATGTAACATATATGTAATACTGAGGTAAACCAACCATCTGAAAGCCACCAGAATCAGTAAGCAATGCTCTTGGCCAGTTCATAAATTTGTGGAGACCTCCCAACTCATCAAGAAGCTCGGAGGTTGGACGAAGTGCCAAATGATACGTATTCCCAAGTATTATTTGAGCACCAATATCTTCAAGCTGTTCAGTTGTCAACCCTTTTATAGTTCCTGAAACCAAGAAAACCTCATCCATATCATTGATTACTCCATACAACAAAGCCAAGGGCATACATGAATGTTGTTCATATATGCACATCAACATCTAATATGAACAAAGAAAAAATTATCAACCCATTGAATATTGGACAATAGAAGTGAAAATGAATGTGTGTGTTCACACACGTTTGAAGATTTTACACACAATGCACATACTAATAATGTTTTATAAATGTCAGCACCTAAAGCTAGCCCACAAAAATATGTTCCTGAGGCAACAAATCCTCGATACCTGAGTCGTTTACATACCAAATACCAATTGAATTGAAAGCTAATTAGCTCAGATGAAAGATTAATTTACTCATGAGGAATAGCTTCTATTTAGTACCAAAATGTACTGAAATTTAAAGCAATAACCTTGCGTTCCAACGGGCATGAAAAGCGGTGTCTGGCACACGAAGTGAGGCAGGGTCAGTCTAGCTGCACGAGCACGGTTAAACCTCCCCAAAACCTGAAGTACAAAACAGAGAAAACAAACTTCCCACATCAATAAACAGAAACAACCCAACGAACCAACAAACATTGTACCGATTTCGAATGAATGGAGATAAAGAGCTTATCGATTTTTATCCATTCATATTCCTATGCAAAATACAAAATAAAAGGTGCCTTTTGGGGGCGAGAAAGTTCAAAACTTTAAATTTATAAGAATTAGAAAAAATAGTTAGAGAAACCATGGTCCTGGATTTCAAACCCACCTCGAAACGAAGTGCCATTGGGGAAGAATTTATCAATGAGGGAAGCAGCTTTATGGCGGTTTAGTAAACCCAAAACCTTAACTTGTGATGTATTGACCGTAGAGAGTGACCCAGAGAATACAAAAGCAAGAAGAAGAAGAAGAAGAGAGTTGAAATATGAGGCAGAGTATAAGGGCAGCGAGCTGTGGTGCTTTGTGTGCCGCTGCCGGTTTGCGGTGTTCTGTTATCTGTTTCAGTTTTGAGTCTTGGAAAGCCGCGGGCGGCGGGGATTCTGAATTTATATAGGATTGAAGGGCGGGTCTTGCGCTCAAGTTTGACGTTTGCGCGCGCGTACTCGTACTCGTACCATTTTGCGTTTTCCGTGATTTTTTTCTCCTCCTTTTTCCTTTTCTTTTTCTTCTTCGCCTTTTAAAGTAGATTTGGGTGTTTGCATTTTGGATTTTGGTCTTTTGAATTTTGATTTGGGTTCACATTGGGTCAAGTGTTGGGGATCTAAATCCTTGGACTTGCATTGACCACCTCCTTTAAAAATCTCCACTTAGCTCTGCATAGCCCTTGTTTACGCTCTAGACTATTGACTATCGCTCTAAATAGTCCCCGGACATTTAAAAATTAAGAAAATAAGGTTAGATCCACTTAGAGGTCCGCCTAGCCTGTCTAGGTTGCGACTATGGCTGAGATGAAAAATTGATAACCTTCATTTTGCATTTTATTTTGTCAATAAAATGTAAGAGATTTATTGAATACTTTGACAAACACTCATTATAGGTTTGTTCCTCATGTTTTCAATATGTTATGATACTTTATAATATATATGTCATTTTATTTTGCAATTTACGTATCCCAATACAATTATGTGTTTTTTTAAGTATATATATGCATTTCTTTAAACAATATTTAATAAATTTACCTAAATCTGCTGCCACCTGACTAATGCCTAGCATTTTTTAGAACCTTAAAAAAAAAAAAAAAAAAAAAATCCTTGGACTTGGAGTAATCCCAAGTGACTAGGGAGTGTTTATGCCCGAACATAGGTGACGCTTTACTGCAGTTGTGAAAAATTCATGCCTATGTATAATAGTGCGGATTCAATCCTCATCAATTCTTCTCTCCCCCTAATAACTAAGAGCGTCTCCAATTGGCTCCCTAAATCAACTCCTAACTAGAATTTAGTGAGGATTTCAAATACAAAATTAACCCTAATCATGCTCTCTATCCACCTGCTAAGATAGAGATTAATCTATGAGTTCATATATTATATAAGGAGAGAGGACGAAGCTCTTAGTGGCTCTTTATAATTAATGCTAACTGATTTAATATTGTTATATATAATTAATTAATTCCTATCGGGCTACATATTGACTCATGGTCATTATAACTCTCTAAAGTAGGGAGTACAGTTAAAGTACAACATTTTTAGAGAGTACCTAAAATAACTTTTTGATAGTTTTACTACAAAATAAAGAGTGTGATTGAAGATATTCTAACTATTGAACTCACTAAGTGCAATTTTGATGTGGCGTGGGACTGAATGAATGGAGAATGGAGGAATAGGGGTAGTAATGCAGAATGAAAGGAAGGAGTTTATGGCTGCTTTAGCAAAACAGGTGATGGATTGCTTGGTATCAAAGCAGGTTTTGTTTAGGCCCAAATACTGTGTCTGTACTCTTTTCAGACTCATTAATTGTAACATCCCATATCGACCAACGAAGATGAGGTGAAGTGCCTTATATGTACATGCCTACCTCTATATAGCACGAGGCCTTTTGGGGACTTACTGGCTTCAGATTTTGTGGGAACTTTGAAGTTAAGCGAGTTAGGGCTAGAGCTATCCCAAGATGGGTGACCCACTGGGAAGATGCTCGTGAGTTCCTAGAAACAAAACAGTGAGGGTGTGGCCCAAAGCGAACAATATCATGCTACGGCGAAGCCGGTCTGAGATGTGACAAAATGGTATCAGAGCCACTCTGTTAGTGTGGTGCAATTGTGCCAACAAGGACGTCGGGCCCTTAAGGGGGGTGGATTGTAACATCCCACATCGACCAACAGAGAGGGGATGATGTGCCTTATATGTACATGCGCACCTCTATATAGCACGAGGCCTTTTAGGGACTCATTGGACTTCGGATTCCATGGGAACTCCGAAGTTAAGCGAGTTCGGGTTAGAGCAATCCTGTGATAAGTAACCTACTGGGAAGTTGCTTGTGAGTTCCCAAAAACAAAATTGTGAGGGCATGGCCTAAAGCGGACAATATCGTGTTATGGCGGAGCCGGTCCGGGATGTGACATTAATAGGTATGTTCCAAGTGCATAATATTCATGTGCTCGTCTTTTCGTTTTTCGATGTGAAAGTTCTCCCCAACTTAGTCACTTACAGCCAAAAAGTGTGAAATATTCAGTTGAGATCAATCTAAACCAGCCTATTATGTATATGTATATGATTCAATATGCAAACTATTAAACAACTTATTGGAAACACAAGACAACCAATCTGAAATGTCACGAAATCCCCCATTCTTGGGGGATGTCCTCAACGATAAGGACCATGTACTAGGGTTTATGTGCGACTCGTTTAGATCATGGGCTAAGACAAAAGAAAAAAAAATTGATCCAGTATCAACTATCAGTACCTGTGAATAGACTAGAATGGAAGAACTCCATTCAATATCTAAAAGAAAAATCTATCCTTCTATTGTGGTATCAAATGTATGGTTTCTGATGGTGCAAATCCAATTAACTCCGTTTTAAATTTAAGATGAGAAAGAATTCTCCATTGAGAGTGTGTGTTAGAAATCCCACACTGCTTGGTTGTCCTGTGAGAGGGTCTAACCCTAACCCTAATGTACAACTAATAATTACATGGTTCCAGTCTAATTACAACAAGACCTTTTAAGGTAATATTTCACACTTCTTGGCTACAAGTGATTAAGTTAGAGAGAATATCAGTGTTGGACAATATCGGGGTTAGATACTCGAACAAGAAAAATCCTCCTAGCTATTTCCATGTACATGTGATAGGCAAGTCCTTTCTTCAATACATAACTAAAATAAAACAAGAAAATTGCAATCATACTTTTTTTTCTGGAGAAAAAAAGTACGATATCCATGGCATTAAAGCTCAATATTAGTATAGCATACGATCAGATTGAATGGAGTTTTTTTAGAGCAAATTGAGAAGGATGGGTTTTGTTGAAAAGTGGGCTCACCCAATTATGATATGTATAGCTACAGTCACCTATTTGTTCATAATAAATGGGGATCCAGTAGGCTATGTCATGTCTAAGAGAGGGATAAAACAAGGAGATCCGCCCTCCCCATACTTGTTTGTGCTTTATGTCGAGGGTTTGTCTACCTTGTTTACAGCAAGGGAGAAAAAGGGGCAGCTTAAAGGGGTCACCATTTGCAAGGGTGCACCAAGTGTAAACCATCTTTTGTTCGTGGATGATAGTTATATTTTCGCTCAAAATTCACTCCAGGAATGTCAAAGGGTCAAGGTGTTGTTCAAGATTTATGAAAATGCATTGGGGCAAGCAATCAACCATGAAAAGAGTTACGTAGCATTCAGTTTAAATCTCACGAAGACCGATGTGCAACTACTTGTCGATTGTCTAGGCGTGTCTCGAGTTGCATACCATGATCGCTATGTGGGTTTACCAGTTTTCATGGGAAAAGCAAAGAAGGCTACACTCGTTTACATAAAGGATCGCTTATGGAAAAAATTGAATGGATTGTGGGGCAACTTGTTGAGTAGTGCGGGCAAGGAGTTGTTGATTAAGATAGTGGCACAAGTTTTGTACTTTAAACCATTTCTAATGCATTTTATTAATTAGGAGCATCGAGCACAACCTGAGTTCAATGGTGACTATATATATAGGGAATGCTACATGATGGATATATTGTGAAAATAGAAAATTAAAAATAGTAAGGGCCCGTTTCTGATATTTGTATACCTATTAGGGGACTGCACAAGGTGGTATTGGTATAATTACCTTACTAAAACCCATGTACCAATTACCATACCAAAATTTTGGTATAACAAACTCTATTACCTAGTACCGTGCTAAACGTTCGGTATATCGAATTTCGGCATGCCAAATAGTTCAGTTGTCTTGGTATGGTAATGGTAATTACCACTTTGTTTTGGGCCATTCTTTTGGGCCAAAATTTGATTTTTTTCAACCCAATTCAGGGCCCAAACGTGTTTTGGTCACTCTCTTTGGCTTTCTAAAACTTCTTTATTTAATTATGAGAATTTTATGAAGATTCATTTAAGAAACAAGACGTAAATAGATGGAACAATTGCTGAAAGAACCCAACATCCCTGGAAAAAATAGTACAAAGATTCCTAAATTTCATCTCTACATTCTTTAAAATTGTACAAAAATTAACTTGATAGATGAAGCCAGGGAGAAAGACATCCCAACTTGATGAATGAGAAGATGAGATGGACTGCCAAGAGAGAGTTGCCAAAACGGGAGCAACAAAGATGAAGCCAATGGCTAGATGAGTGAAAAGATGAACAGTCGCAGCGCAAGAAGGCTTAGATTTTTTTATTGGGAAAGTAAAGGGTAGAGGGTGAGATGATTGGATAAATGACTAGGAAAAAAAATATAATGTGCATTTATAATGATAATAATACATAATTATTTATATTAATAAATAAATAAATGATATAATATTAATAATAGTGATATGGTACGGTATACCACTAGTAATGGTTTTGAATATCATTACCGTATAGAAAATGTATGGTATGGTACAAAACCGTATCATTACCAATGATACAAATTTTTTGTCACAACTTTGGTATGGTACGGTTGGTATGGTAATTTGGCAAAAAATTTCACCCCTACTACACATATCCCTCTGTTTGCTAACAACATTGTAAACCACAAAATTATTTATGCGCATCCTTCATCATTATTTATGCGGATCCATCTCTCTCACGCCTCCATCTTCATCCCCACATGACCACGAAGTAGCAACCAACAAACAACCACCGCACCTCGATATCTAAAGACGTCATTGTGGAGAAATTTTTCATTATGATCGGAGCACGGGTGATACATCATATGTTTTTATATAAATAGTGGGAAATTGTATTTTTTAAATTATTAACTTTTTAACACATATATTCCACCATTTGTATAATAACAAATGATGTTTTACCCCGTGTTTCGATCACATTGAACAATCTCTGTTCATTGGGGTTTGTGAAGTTGGTTGATTGGGGTGTAAATTCATGAGGAGGTGAAGCGAAGGAGGCAATGAGACCTGGGCTTGTAGATTTGAATGGCAGATTTGGAGTTTTAGGAATTGGGTTAGGTTATAATGGGTAGAAAACTTGAATTCTGGTGTATTAAAAT